GCCTCCTTTGTAAATCACTAGCAGGTCTAAAGTGCCACTTAGGATTATCGCACAAACTGTCATAACTGAATCAATGAAGCTGTCAGATCCTCATACGTCGAAATGTTTGCATCCTTCAATGGCCACAAGCCTTCTCTTCATCTCTGAGGAAATTAGCCAGCATCCACAGACATATCAGAATACAGAATATAGCAGTTCAGCACACTTCTTCATTTCTAAGAAAAAATTTTTTTCTGTCGCACAGAAGTTTAGTTTACTATTCGAATGCGTCTTCGGATTTCGCTTTCATATTTTTCTGTCCCGTTAAAGCACTTCGCTGATCTTTAAACTACTGCTTGACGTCGATATCAACAATTTGTTTACATTTCGTTTAGCTTAGAAATCCTTTGCAAGTTATTTAAGATCAGCTTGGCATCCTGCCTTGAAGGAGGAGACGATGTTGTGGCATCTGTTCCGTGACGCGCCAATTTTTCCCCTGCTGCTTGGATGGCTGGCCTCGGCGGAAATACTGTTGTTGTATCTGTTCTGGGCTGGGCCGGGCCGATTCCTAGCCGCTGTTTGGACAGCTCGCCTTGGCGGAAATACTGTTGTTATATCTGTTCTGGGCTGGGCCGGGCCGATTCCTACCGGCTGCTTGGACAGCTCGCCTTGGCGGAAATACGGTTGTTGTATCTGTTCTGGGCCGGGCCGGGCCGATTCCTAACCGCTGCTTGGACAGCTCGCCATGGCGGAAATGCTGTTGTTGTATCTGTACTGGGCTGGGCCGGGCGGATTCCTACCCGCTGCTTGGACAGCACGCCTTGGCTGAAATGCTGTTGTTGTATCTGTTCTGCGCCGGGCCGGGGACGATTCCCTTGTCCGCTGCTTGGACAGCTCGCCTTGGCGGAAATGCTGTTGTTGTATCTGTTCTGCGCTGGGCCGGGCCGATTCCTACCCGCCGCTTGGACAGCTCGCCTTGGCGGAAATGCTGTTGTTGTATCTGTTCTGGGTCGGGCCAGGCCGATTCCTACCCGCTGCTTGGACAGCTCGCCTTGTCGGAAATGCTGTTGTTGTATCTGTTCTGGGCTGGGCCGGGCCGATTCCTACCTGCCGCTTGGACAGCTCGCCTTGGCGGAAATGCTGTTGTTGTATCTGTTCTGGGCTGGGCCGGGCCGATTGCTACCCGCTGCTTGGACAGCTCGACTCGGCGGAAATGCTGTTGTTATATCTGTTCTGGGCTGGGCCGGGCCGATTCCTACCCGCTGCTTGGACAGCTCGCCTTGGCGGAAATGCTGTTGTTGTATCTGTTCTGGGTCGGGCCAGGCCGATTCCTACGCGCTGCTTGGACAGCTCGCCTTGGCGGAAATGCTGTTGTTGTATCTGTTCTGGGCTGGGCCGGGCCGATTCCTACCCGCTGCTTGGACAGCTCGCCTTGGCGGAAATGCTGTTGTTGTATCTGTTCTGGGCTGGGCCGGGCCGATTCCTACCGCTGCTTGGACAGCTCGCCTTGGCGGAAATGCTGTTGTTATATCTGTTCTGGGCTGGGCGGGCCGATTCCTACCCAGGCCGATTCCCTACTGCTTGGACAGCTCGCCTTGGCGGAAATGCTGTTGTTGTATCTGTTCTGGGTCGGGCCAGGCCGATTCCTACCCGCTGCTTGGACAGCTCGCCTTGGCGGAAATGCTGTTGTTGTATCTGTTCTGGGCTGGGCCGGGCCGATTCCTACCCGCTGTTTGGACAGCCCGCCTCGGCGGAAATGCTGTTGTTGTATCTGTTCTGGGCTGGGCCGGGCCGATTCCTACCCGCTGCTTGGACAGCTCGCCTGCTTCTGGGCTTGGACAGCACGTCTTGGCGGAAATGCTGTTGTTGTATCTGTTCTGGGTCGCCGGGCCGGGCCGATTCCTACCCGCTGCTTGGACAGCTCGCCTTGGCGGAAATGCTGTTGTTGTATCTGTTCTGGGCTGAGCCGGGCCGATTCCTACCCGCTGCTTGGACAGCTCGCCTTCGCGGAAATGCTGTTGTTGTATCTGTTCTTGGCTGGGCCGGGCGGATGCCTATCCGCTGCTTGGACAGCTCGCCTTGGCGGAAATGCTGTTGTTGTATCTGTTCTGGGTCGCCTTGCCAGGCCTGGGCCGGGCGGATTCCTACCCGCTGCTTGGACAGCTCGCCTTGGCGGAAATGCTGTTGTTGTATCTGTTCTGGGTCGGGCCAGGCCGATTCCTAACCGCTGCTTGGATAGCTCGCCTTGGCGGAAATGCTGTTGTTGTATCTGTTCTGGGTCGGGCCAGGCCGATTGTTACCCGCTGCTTGGACAGCTCGCCTTGGCGGAAATGCTGTTGTTGTATCTGTTTGGGGTTGGGCTTTCGGGCCGATTCCTACCCGCTGTTTGGACAGCTCGCTGCTGGACGGCTCGCCTTGGCGGAAATGCTGTTGTTGTATCTGTTCTGGGCCGGGCCGGGCCGATTCCTACCCGCTGTTTGGACAGCTCGGCTTGGCGGAAAGGCTGTTGTTGTATCTGTTCGGGGCTGGGCCGGGCCGATTCCTACCCGCTGCTTGGACAGCTCGCCTTGGCGGAAATGCTGTTGTTGTATCTTTTCTGGGTCGGGCCAGGCCGATTCCTACCCGCTGCTTGGACAGCTCGCCTTGGCGGAAATGCTGTTGTTGTATCTGTTTGGGGTTGGGCCGGGCCGATTCCTACCCGCTGCTTGGACAGCTCGCCTTGGCGGAAATGCTGTTGTTGTATCTGTTCTGGGCTGGGCCGGGCCGATTCCTACCCGCTGTTTGGACAGCTCGCCTCGGCGGAAATGCTGTTGTTGTATCTGTTCTGGGCTGGGCCGGGCCGATTCCTACCCGCTGCTGGACTTGGACAGCACGCCTTGGCGGGGCGGGCCCGTTTGGATGCTGTTGTTGTATCTGTTCTGCGCTGGGCCGGGCGGATACCTATCCGCTGCTTGGACAGCTCGCCTTGGCGGAAATGCTGTTGTTGTATCTGTTCTGGGTCGGGCCAGGCCGATTCCTACCCGCTGCTTGGACAGCTCGCCTTGGCGGAAATGCTGTTGTTGTATCTGTTCTGGGTCGGGACAGGCCGATTCCTAACCGCTGCTTGGATAGCTCGCCTTGGCGGAAATGCTGTTGTTGTATCTGTTCTGGGTCGGGCCAGGCCGATTGTTACCCGCTGCTTGGACAGCTCGCCTTGGCGGAAATGCTGTTGTTGTATCTGTTTGGGGTTGGGCCGGGCCGATTCCTACCCGCTGCTTGGACAGCTCGCCTTGGCGGAAATGCTGTTGTTGTATCTTTTCTGGGCCGGGCCGGGCCGATTCCTACCGCTGCTTGGACAGCGCCCGCTTTGGCGGAAATGCTGTTGTTGTATCCTGTTCTGGGCTGGGCCGGGCCGATTCCTACCCGCTGCTGGACAGCTCGCCTGGCGGAAATGCTGTTGTTGTATCTGTTCTGGGCTGGGCCGGGCCGATTCCTACCCGCTGTTTGGACAGCTCGCCTTGGCGGAAATGCTGTTGTTGTATCTGTTCGGGGCCGATTCTACCCGCTGTTTGGGGCCGGGCCGATTCCTGGGCCCCGATTCCTACCCGCTGCTTGGATAGCTCGCCTTGGCGGAAATGCTGTTGTTGTATCTTTTCTGGGTCGGGCCAGGCCGATTCCTACCCGCTGCTTGGACAGCTCGCCTTGGCGGAAATGCTGTTGTTGTATCTGTTTGGGGTTGGGCCGAGCCGATTCCTATGCTTGGACAGCTCGCCCGGCGGAAATGCTGTTGACAGCTCGCCTTGGCGGAAATGCTGTTGTTGTTGTATCTGTTCTGGGCCGGGCCGGGCCGATTCCTACCCGCTGCTTGGACAGCTCGCCTTGGCGGAAATGCTGTTGTTGTATCTGTTCTGGGCCGGGCCGGGCCGATTCCTACCCGCTGCTTGGACAGCTCGCCTTGGCGGAAATGCTGTTGTTGTATCTGTTCTGGGCTGGGCCGGGCCGATTCCTACCCGCTGCTTGGACAGCTCGCCTTGGCGGAAATGCTGTTGTTGTATCTGTTCTGGGCCGGGCCGGGCCGATTCCTACCCGCTGTTTGGACAGCTCGAAATGCTGCTGTTGTATCTGTTCTGGGCTGGGCCGGGCCGATTCCTACCCGCTGCTTGGACAGCTCGCCTTGGCGGAAATGCTGTTGTTGTATCTGTTCTGGGTCGGGCCGGGCCGATTCCTACCCGCTGCTTGGACAGCTCGCCTTGGCGGAAATGCTGTTGTTGTCTCTGTTTGGGCTGGGCCGGGCCGATTCCTACCCGCTGTTTGGACAGCTCGCCTTGGCGGAAATGCTGTTGTTGTATCTGTTCTGGGCTGGGCCGGGCCGATTCCTACCCGCTGTTTGGACAGCTCGCCTTGGCGGAAATGCTGTTGTTGTATCTGTTCTGGGTCAGGGCCAGGCCGATTCCTACCCGCTGCTTGGACAGCTCGCCTTGGCGGAAATGCTGTTGTTGTATCTGTTCTGGGTTCTGGTGCCGGGCCGATTCCTACCCGCTGCTTGGACAGCTCGCCTTGGCGGAAATGCTGTTGTTGTATCTGTTCTGGGTCGGGCCGGGCCGATTCCTACCCCCGCTGCTTGGACAGCTCGCCTTGGCGGAAATGCTGTTGTTGTATCTGTTCTGGGTCTGGCCAGGCCGCTGCTTGGACCTCGCCTTGGCGCTGTTGTTGTATCTGTTCAGCTCCGCCTTGGCGGAAATGCTGTTGTTGTATCTGTTCTGGGTTGGGCCAGGCCGATTCCTACCCGCTGCTTGGACAGCTCGCCTTGGCGGAAATGCTGTTGTTGTATCTGTTCTGGGCCGGGCCGGGCCGATTCCCACCCGCTGCTTGGACAGCTCGCCTTGGCGGAAATGCTGTTGTTGTATCTTTCTGGGCCGGGCCGGGCCGATTCCTACCGCTGCTTGGACAGCTCGCCTTGGCGGAAATGCTGTTGTTGTATCTGTTCTGGGTCTGGGCCGGGCCGATTCCTACCCGCTGCTTGACAGCTCGCCTTGGCGGAAATGCTGTTGTTGTATCTGTTCTGGGCTGGGCCGGGCCGATTCCTACCCGCTGCTTGGACAGCTCGCCTTGGCGGAAATGCTGTTGTTGTATCTGTTCTGGGCTGGGGCCGGGCCGATTCCTACCCGCTGCTTGGACAGCTCGCCTTGGCGGAAATGCTGTTGTTGTATCTGTTCTGGGTGGGCCGGGCCGATTCCTACCTGCTGCTTGGACAGCTCGCCTTGGCGGAAATGCTGTTGTTGTATCTGTTCTGGGCTGGGCCGGGCCGATTCCTACCCGCTGCTTGGACAGCTCGCCTTGGCGGAAATGCTGTTGTTGTATCTGTTCTGGGCTGGGCCGGGCCGATTCCTACCCGCTGTTTGGACAGCTCGCCTCGGCGGAAATGCTGTTGTTGTATCTGTTCTGGGCTGGGCCGGGCCGATTCCTACCCGCTGCTTGGACAGCACGTCTTGGCGGAAATGCTGTTGTTGTATCTGTTCTGCGCCGGGCCGGGCCGATTCCTACCCGCTGCTTGGACAGCTCGCCTTGGCGGAAATGCTGTTGTTGTATCTGTTCTGGGCCGGGCCGGGCCGATTCCTACCCGCTGCTTGGACAGCTCGCCTTGGCGGAAATGCTGTTGTTGTATCTGTTCTGGGTCGGGCCAGGCCGATTCCTACCCGCTGCTTGATCGCCTTGGCGGAAATGCTGTTGTTGTATCTGTTCTGGGTGGGCCGGGCCGATTCCTACCTGCTGCTTGGACAGCTCGCCTTGGCGGAAATGCTGTTGTTGTTGTTCTGTTCTGGGCTGGGCCAGGCCGATTCCTACCCGCTGCTTGGACAGCTCGCCTTGGCGGAAATGCTGTTGTTGTATCTGTTCTGGGTCGGGCGGGCCGATTCCTACCGCTGCTTGGACAGCTCGCCTTGGCGGAAATGTTGTTGTATCTGTTCTGGGTTGGGCCGGGCCGATTCCTACCCGCTGCTTGGACAGCTCGCCTTGGCGGAAATGCTGTTGTTGTATCTGTTCTGGGCTGGGCCGGGCCGATTCCTACCCGCTGCTTGGACAGCTCGCCTTGGCGGAAATGCTGTTGTTGTATCTGTTCTGGGCTGGGCCGGGCCGATTCCTACCCGCTGCTTGGACAGCTCGCCTTGGCGGAAATGCTGTTGTTGTATCTGTTCTGGGTCTGGCCAGGCCGATTCCTACCCGCTGCTTGGACAGCTCGCCTTGGCGGAAATGCTGTTGTTGTATCTGTTCTGGTCGGGCCAGGCCGATTCCTACCCGCTGCTTGGACAGCTCGCCTTGGCGGAAATGCTGTTGTTGTATCTGTTCTGGGTCTGGGCCGGGCCGATTCCTATCCGCTGCTTGGATAGCTCGCCTTGGCGGAAATGCTGTTGTTGTATCTGTTCTGGGTCGGGCCAGGCCGATTCCTACCCGCTGCTTGGACAGCTCGCCTTGGCGGAAATGCTGTTGTTGTATCTGTTCTGGGCTGGGCCGGGCCGATTCCTACCTGCCGCTTGGACAGCTCGCCTTGGCGGAAATGCTGTTGTTGTATCTGTTCTGGGCTGGGCCGGGCCGATTCCTACCCGCTGCTTGGACAGCTCGCCTTGGCGGAAATGCTGTTGTTGTATCTGTTCTGGGTCGGGCCAGGCCCCTGATTCCTCGCCTTGGCGGAAATGCTGTTGTTGTATCTGTTCTGGGCTGGGCCGGGCCGATTCCTACCGCTGCTTGGACAGCTCGCCTTGGCGGAAATGCTGTTGTTGTATCTGTTCTGGGCTGGGCCGGGCCGATTCCTACCCGCTGCTTGGACAGCTCGCCTTGGCGGAAATGCTGTTGTTGTATCTGTTCTGGGCCGGGCCGGGCCGATTCCTACCCGCTGCTTGGACAGCTCGCCTTGGCGGAAATGCTGTTGTTGTATCTGTTCTGGGCTGGGCCGGGCCGATTCCTACCCGCTGCTGGACGGCTCGCCTTGGCGGAAATGCTGTTGTTGTATCTGTTCTGGGCTGGGCCGGGCCGATTCCCACCCGGTTTGGACAGCTCGCCTTGGCGGAAATGCTGTTGTTGTATCTCCTGGGCCGGGCCGATTCCCTACCCGCTGCTTGGACAGCTCGCCTTGGCGGAAATGCTGTTGTTGTATCTGTTCTGGGTCGGGCCAGGCCGATTCCTACCCGCTGCTTGGACAGCTCGCCTTGGCGGAAATGCTGTTGTTGTATCTGTTCTGGGTCGGGCCAGCTGCTTGGACAGCTCGCCTTGGCGGAAATGCTGTTGTTGTATCTGTTCTGGGCTCGGGCCAGGCCGATTCCTACCCGCTGCTTGGACAGCTTGCCTTGGCGGAAATGCTGTTGTTGTATCTGTTCTGGGTCGGGCCAGGCCGATTCCTAACCGCTGCTTGGATAGCTCGCCTTGGCGGAAATGCTGTTGTTGTATCTGTTATGGGCTGGGCCAGGCCGATTCCTACCCGCTGCTTGGACATCTTGCCTTGGCGGAAATGCTGTTGTTGTATCTGTTCTGGGCTGGGCCGGGCCGATTCCCGCTGCCCGCTGCTTGGACAGCTCGCCTTGGCGGAAATGCTGTTGTTGTATCTGTTCTGGGCTGGGCCGGGCCGATTCCTACCTGCCGCTTGGACAGCTCGCCTTGGCGGAAATGCTGTTGTTGTATCTGTTCTGGGTCGGGCCAGGCCGATTCCTACCCGCTGCTTGGACAGCTCGCCTTGGCGGAAATGCTGTTGTTGTATCTGTTCTGGGCTGGCCGCCGATTTCCTACCCGCTGTTTGGACAGCTCGCCTTTCCCTGGCGGAAATGCTGTTGTTGTATCTGTTCTGGGTCGGGCCAGGCCGATTCCTACCGCTGCTTGGACAGCTCGCCTTGGCGGAAATGCTGTTGTTGTATCTGTTCTGGGCTGGGCCGGGCCGATTCCTACCCTTGCTGCTCGCCTGGACAGCTCTGGGCCTTCCTACCCGGCGGAAATCGCTGTTGTTGTATCTGTTCTGGGCTGGGCCGGGCCGATTCCTACCCGCTGCTTGGACAGCTCGCCTTGGCGGAAATGCTGTTGTTGTATCTGTTCTGGGTCTGGGCCGGGCCGATTCCTACCCGCTGCTTGGACAGCTCGCCTTGGCGGAAATGCTGTTGTTGTATCTGTTCTGGGCTGGGCCGGGCCGATTCCTACCCGCTGCTTGGACAGCTCGCCTTGGCGGAAATGCTGTTGTTGTATCTGTTCTGGGTCGGGCCAGGCCGATTCCTACCCGCTGCTTGGACAGCTCGCCTTGGCGGAAATGCTGTTGTTGTATCTGTTCTGGGCTGGGCCGGGCCGATTCCTACCGCTGGCTCGATTGGCGGAAATGCTGTTGTTGTATCTGTTCTGGGCTGGGCCAGGCCGATTCTTGGACAGCTCGCCTTGGCGGAAATGCTGTTGTTGTATCTTTTCTGGGTCCGGGCCAGGCCGATTCCTACCCGCTGCTTGGACAGCTCGCCTTGGCGGAAATGCTGTTGTTGTATCTGTTTGGGGTTGGGCTGGGCCGATTCCTACCCGCCTGTTCTGGGCTGGGCTTCCTACCGCTGGGACAGCTCGCCTTGGCGGAAATGCTGTTGTTGTATCTGTTCTGGGCTGGGCCGGGCCGATTCCTACCCGCTGCTTGGACAGCTCGCCTTGGCGGAAATGCTGTTGTTGTATCTGTTCTGGGCTGGGCCGGGCCGATTCCTACCCGCTGCTTGGACAGCTCGCCTTGGCGGAAATGCTGTTGTTGTATCTGTTCTGGGTCGGGCCAGGCCGGATTCCTACCCGCTGCTTGGACAGCTCGCCTTGGCGGAAATGCTGTTGTTGTATCTGTTCTGGGTCGGGACGGGCCGATTCCTACCTGCTGCTTTGGACAGTTCTCGCCTTGGCGGAAATGCTGTTGTTGTATCTGTTCTGGGCTTCTCGCCTTGGCGGAAATGCTGTTGTTGTATCTGTTCTGGGCTGGGCCAGGCCGATTCCTACCCGCTGCTTGGACAGCTCGCCTTGCGGAAATGCTGTTGTTGTATCTGTTCTGGGCTGGGCCGGGCCGATTCCTACCCGCTGCTTGGACAGCTCGCCTTGGCGGAAATGCTGTTGTTGTCTGTTCTGGGCTGGGCAGGCCGATTCTACCCGCTGCTTGGACAGCTCGCCTTGGCGGAAATGCTGTTGTTGTATCTGTTCTGGGCTGGGCCGGGCCGATTCCTACCGCTGCTTGGACAGCTCGCCTTGGCGATTGTTGTTGTATCTGTTCTGGGCTGGGCCGGGCCGATTCCTACCCGCTGCTTGGACAGCTCGCCTTGGCGGAAATGCTGTTGTTGTATCTGTTCTGGGCTGGGCCGGGCCGATTCCTACCGCTGCTTGGACAGCTCGCCTTGGCGGAAATGCTGTTGTTGTATCTGTTCTGGGCTGGGCCGGGCCGATTCCCGCTGTTTGGACAGCTCGCCTTGGGTCGCGGAAATGCTGTTGTTGTATCTGTTCTGGGCCAGGCCGGGCCGGAAATGTGCTTGGATGCTCGCCTTGTTGTTGTATCTGTTCTGGGCTGGGCCGGGCCGATTCCTACCCGCTGCTTGGACAGCTCGCCTTGGCGGAAATGCTGTTGTTGTATCTGTTCTGGGCTGGGCCGGGCCGATTCCTACCCGCTGCTGGACAGCTCGCCTTGGCGGAAATGCTGATTCCTGGGCCGGGCCGCCTGCTTGGACAGCTCGCCTTGGCGGAAAGGCTGTTGTTGTATCTGTTCTGGGCTGGGCCGTGCCGATTCCTACCCGCTGCTTGGACATCTCGCCTTGGCGGAAATGCAGTTGTTGTATCTGTTCTGGGTCGGGCCAGGCCGATTCCTACCCGCTGCTTGGACAGCTCGCCTTGGCGGAAATGCTGTTGTTGTATCTGTTCTGGGCTGGGCCGGGCCGATTCCTACCCGCTGCTTGGACAGCTCGCCTTGGCGGAAATGCTGTTGTTGTATCTGTTCTGGGTCGGGCCAGGCCGATTCCTACCCGCTGCTTGGACAGCTCGCCTTGGCGGAAATGCTGTTGTTGTATCTGTTCTGGGCTGGGCCGGGCCGATTCCCTACCCGCTGTTGGACAGCTCGCGGAAATGCTGTTGTTGTATCTGTTCTGGGTCGGGCCAGGCCGTTCCTACCCGCTGCTTGGACAGCTCGCCTTGGCGGAAATGCTGTTGTTGTATCTGTTCTGGGCTGGGCCGGGCCGATTCCTACCCGCTGCTTGGACAGCTCGCCTTGGCGGAAATGCTGTTGTTGTATCTGTTCTGGGCTGGGCCGGGCCGATTCCTACCCGCTGCTTGGACAGCTCGCCTTGGCGGAAATGCTGTTGTTGTATCTGTTCTGGGGGTCCAGGCCGGGCCGATTCCTGTTGTTGTATCTTTTCTGCTGGGCCGACAGCTCGCGCTTGGCGGAAATGCTGTTGTTGTATCTGTTCTGGGTCTGGGCCGGGCCGATTCCCCACCCGCTGCTTGGACCCGCCTGCTTGCTGTTGGACACCCCTGCTTGGACAGCTCGCCTTGGCGGAAATGCTGTTGTTGTATCTGTTCTGGGCTGGGCCGGGCCGATTCCTACCCGCTGCTTGGACAGCTCGCCTTGGCGGAAATGCTGTTGTTGTATCTGTTCTGGTCGGGCCAGGCCGATTCCTACCCGCTCCCTCGCGCTGCTTGGACAGCTCGCCTCACCTGGCGGAAATGCTGTTGTTGTATCTGTTCTGGGTCTGGGCCGAGCCGATTCCTACCCGCTGCTTGGACAGCTCGCCTTGGCGGAAATGCTGTTGTTGTATCTGTTCTGGGTCTGGGCCGGGCCGATTCCTACCCGCTGCTTGGACAGCTCGCCTTGGCGGAAATGCTGTTGTTGTATCTGTTCTGGGCTCGGGCCGGGCCGATTCCCTTGGCGGAAATGCTGCTGTTCTTGGACAGGGCCGATTTCCTACCCGCTGCTTGCCGCCTTGGCGGAAATGCTGTTGTTGTATCTGTTCTGGGCTGGGCCGGGCCGATTCCTACCCGCTGCTTGGACAGCTCGCCTTGGCGGAAATGCTGTTGTTGTATCTGTTCTGGGCTGGGCCGGGCCGATTCCTACCTGCTGCTTGGACAGCTCGCCTTGGCGGAAATGCTGTTGTTGTATCTGTTCTGGGCTGGGCCGGGCCGATTCCTAACCGCTGCTTGGACAGCTCGCCTTGGCGGAAATGCTGTTGTTGTATCCTGTTCTGGGCTGGGCCGGGCCGATTCCTCGCTGGGCTTGGACAGCTCGCCTTGGCGGAAATGCTGTTGTTGTATCTGTTCTGGGTCGGGCCGGGCCGATTCCTACCCGCTGCTTGGACAGCTCGCCTTGGCGGAAATGCTGTTGTTGTATCCTTTTCTGGGTCGGGCCAGGCCGATTCCTACCAGCTCGCCTTGGCGAAATGCTGTTGTTGTATCTGTTCTGGGTCGGGCCAGGCCGATTCTTACCGCTGCTTGGACAGCTCGCCTTGGCGGAAATGCTGTTGTTGTATCTGTTCTGGGCTGGGCCGGGCCGATTCCTACCCGCTGCTTGGACAGCTCGCCTTGGCGGAAATGCTGTTGTTGTATCTGTTCTGGGCTGGGCCGTGCCGATTCCGGGCCGATACCCGCTGTTTGGACAGCTCGCCTTGGCGGAAATGCTGTTGTTGTATCTGTTCTGGGTCTGGGCCAGGCCGATTCCTACCCGCTGCTTGGACAGCTCGCCTTGGCGGAAATGCTGTTGTTGTATCTGTTCTGGGCTGGGCCGGGCCGATTCCTACCCGCTGCTTGGACAGCTCGCCTTGGCGGGAAATGCTGTTGTTGTATCTGTTCTGGGTCCGGGCCGGGCCGATTCCCTACCGCTGCTTGGACAGCTCGCCCTTGGCGGAAATGCTGTTGTTGTATCCGTTCTGGGCTGGGCCGGGCCGATTCCTACCGCTGCTTGGACAGCTCGCCTTGGCGGAAATGCTGTTGTTGTATCTGTTCTGGGCTGGGCCGGGCCGATTCCGCTGCCCAGCTGCTTGGACAGCTCGCCTTGGCGGAAATGCTGTTGTTGTATCTGTTCTGGGCTGGGCCGGGCCGATTCCTACCCGCTGCTTGGACAGCTCGCCTTGGCGGAAATGCTGTTGTTGTATCTGTTCTGGGCTGGGCCGGGCCGATTCCTACCCGCTGCTTGGACAGCTCGCCTTGGCGGAAATGCTGTTGTTGTATCTGTTCTGGGCTGGGCCAGGCCGATTCCCCCGCTACCCGCTGCTTGGACAGCTCGCCTTGGCGGAAAATGTTGTTGTATCTGTTCTGGGTCGGGCCAGGCCGATTCCTACCCGCTGCTTGGACAGCTCGCCTTGGCGGAAATGCTGTTGTTGTATCTGTTCTGGCTCGGGCCGGGCCGATTCCTACCCGCTGCTTGGACAGCTCGCCTTGGCGGAAAATGCTGTTGTTGTATCTGTTCTGGGCTGGGCCGGGCCGATTCCTACCGCTGCTTGGACAGCTCGCCTTGGCGGAAATGCTGTTGTTGTATCTGTTCTGGGTCGGGCCGTGCCGATTCCCTACCGCTGCTTGGACAGCTCGCCTTGGCGGAAATGCTGTTGTTGTATCTGTTCTGGGCTGGGCCGGGCCGATTCCTACCCGCTGCTTGGACAGCTCGCCTTGGCGGAAATGCTGTTGTTGTATCTGTTCTGGGTCGGGCCAGGCCGATTCCTACCCGCTGCTTGGACAGCTCGCCTTGGCGGAAATGCTGTTGTTGTATCTGTTCTGGGCTGGGCCGTGCCGATTCCTACCGCTGCTTGGACAGCTCGCCTTGGCGGAAATGCTGTTGTTGTATCTGTTCTGGGTCGGGCCAGGCCGATTCCTACCCGCTGCTTGGACATCTGTTCTGGGTCGGGCCGGGCCGATTCCCCTGCCTCGCCTTGGCGGAAATGCTGTTGTTGTCATTCCCTACCTGCTGCTTGGACAGCTCGCCTTGGCGGAAATGCTGTTGTTGTATCTGTTCTGGGGCGGGCCGGGCCGATTCCTACCCGCTGCTTGGACAGCTCGCCTTGGCGGAAATGCTGTTGTTGTATCTGTTCTGGGTCCGGGCTGGGCCGATTCCGACCCGCTGCTTGGACAGCTCGCCTTGGCCTGCCTGCTGCTTGGACAGGCCAGGCCGATTCCTACCCGCTGCTTGGACAGCTCGCCTTGGCGGAAATGCTGTTGTTGTATCTGTTCTGGGTCGGGCCGGGCGATTGTTACCCGCTGCTTGGACAGCTCGCCTTGGCGGAAATGCTGTTGTTGTATCTGTTCTGGGCCGGGCCGGGCCGATTCCTACCCGCTGCTTGGACAGCTCGCCTTGGCGGAAATGCTGTTGTTGTATCTGTTCTGGGCTGGGCCGGGCCGATTCCTACCCGCTGCTTGGACAGCTCGCCTTGGCGGAAATGCTGTTGTTGTATCTGTTCTGGGCTGGGCCGGGCCGATTCCTACCCGCTGTTTGGACAGCTCGCCTCGGCGGAAATGCTGTTGTTGTATCTGTTCTGGGCTGGGCCGTGGCCGATTCCTACCAGCTGCTTGGACAGTTGCCTTGGCGGAAATGCAGTTGTTGTATCTGTTCTGGGCTGGGCCGGGCCGATTCCTACCCGCTGCTTGGACAGCTCGCCTTGGCGGAAATGCTGTTGTTGTATCTGTTCTGGGCTGGGCCGGGCCGATTCCTACCCGCTGCTTGGACAGCTCGCCTTGGCGGAAATGCTGTTGTTGTATCTGTTCTGGGTCGGGCCAGGCCGATTCCTACCAACTGCTTGGACAGCTCGCCTTGGCGGAAATGCTGTTGTTGTATCTGTTCTGGTCTGGGCCGGGCCGATTCCTACCGCTGCTTGGACAGCTCGCCTTGGCGGAAATGCTGTTGTTGTATCTGTTCTGGGCGGGCCAGGCCGATTCCTACCCGCTGCTTGGACAGCTCGCCTTGGCGGAAATGCTGTTGTTGTATCTGTTCTGGGCTGGGCCGGGCCGATTCCTACCAGCTGCTTGGACAGCTCGCCTTGGCGGAAATGCTGTTGTTGTATCTGTTCTGGGTCGGGCCAGGCCGATTCCTACCCGCTGCTTGGACAGCTCGCCTTGGCGGAAATGCTGTTGTTGTATCCGTTCTGGGCTGGGCCGGGCCGATTCCTACCTGCTGCTTGGACAGCTTCGCCTCGCCTTGGCGGAAATGCTGTTGTTGTATCTATCTGTTCCGTTCTACCCGGGATAGCTCGCCTTGGCGAAATGCTGTTGTTGTATCTGTTCTGGTTCGGGCCGGGCCGATTCCTACCCGCCCGCTTGGACAGCTCGCCTTGGACAATGCTGTTGTTGTATCTGTTCTGGGCTGGCCGGGCCGATTCCTACCGGAAATGCCTGTTGTTGTATCTGTTCTGGGCTTGGGCCAGGCGATTCCTACCCGCTGCTTGGACATCTCGCCTTGGCGGAAATGCTGTTGTTGTATCTGTTCTGGGTCGGGCCAGGCCGATTCCTACCCGCTGCTTGGACAGCTCGCCTTGGCGGAAATGCTGTTGTTGTATCTGTTCTGGGCTGGGCCGGGCCGATTCCCTACCCGCTGCTTGGACAGCTCGCCTTGGCGGAAATGCTGTTGTTGTATCTGTTCTGGGGCCGGGCCTGGCCGATTCCTACCCGCTGCTTGGACAGCTCGCCCTTGGCGGAAATGCTGTTGTTGTATCTGTTCTGGGCTGGGCCGGGCCGATTCCTACCCGCTGCTTGGACAGCCTGCCTTGGCGGAAATGCTGTTGTTGTATCCGTTCTGGGCTGGGCCGGGCCGATTCCTACCGCTGCTTGACAGCTCGCCTTGGCGGAAATTGGACAGCTCGGCCAGCCGATTCCTACCCGGAAATGCAGTTGTTGTATCTGTTCTGGGCCGGGCCAGGCTGATTCTAACCTGCTGCTTGGACAGCTCGCCTTGGCGGAAATGCTGTTGTTGTATCTGTTCTGGGCTGGGCCGGGCCGATTCCTACCTGCTGCTTGGACAGCTCGCCTTGGCGGAAATGCTGTTGTTGTATCTGTTCTGGGACAGGCCAGGCCGATTCCACCCGCTGCTTGGACAGCTCGCCTTGGCGGAAATGCTGTTGTTGTATCTGTTCTGGGTCGGGCCGGGCCGATTCCTACCCTGCTGGACTTGGACAGCTCGTTCCTGGCGGAAATGCTGTTGTTGTAATGCTGTTGTTGTATCTGTTCTGGGTCTGGGCCGGGCCGATTCCTACCGCTGCTTGGACAGCTCGCCTTGGCGGAAATGCTGTTGTTGTATCTGTTCTGGGCTGGGCCGGGCCGATTCCTACCCGCTGTTTGGACAGCTCGCCTTGGCGGAAAGGCTGTTGTTGTATCTGTTCTGGGCTGGGCCGTGCCGATTCCTACCCGCTGCTTGGACATCTCGCCTTGGCGGAAATGCTGTTGTTGTATCTGTTCTGGGCTGGCCGGGCCGATTCCTACCCGCTGCTTGGACAGCTCGCCTTGGCGGAAATTTTGTTGTATCTGTTCTGGGCTTCTGGGCTCAGGCCAGGCCGACCCGCTGCTTGGACAGCTCGCCTTGGCGGAAATGCTGTTGTTGTATCTGTTCTGGGCTGGGCCAGGCCGATTCCTACCCGCTGTTTTGGACAGCTCGCCTTGGCGGAAATGCTGTTGTTGTATCTGTTCTGGGTGGGCCGGGCCGATTCCTACCAGCTGCTTGGACAGCTCGCCTTGGCGGAAATGCTGTTGTTGTATCTGTTCTGTTCCACCTCTGGCCTTGGCGGAAATGCTGTTGTTGTATCTGTTCTGGGTCCCGATTCCTACCCGCTGCTTGGACAGCTCGCCTTGGCGGAAATGCTGTTGTTGTATCTGTTCTGGGCTGGGCCGGGCCGATTCCTACCCGCTGCTTGGACAGCTCGCCTTGGCGGAAATGCTGTTGTTGTATCTGTTCTGGGACGGGCCAGGCCGATTCCTACCCGCTGCTTGGACAGCTCGCCTTGGCGGAAATGCTCTTGTTGTATCTGTTCTGGGTCAACCAGGCCGATTCCTACCCGCTGCTTGGACAGCTCGCCTTGGCGGAAATGCTGTTGTTGTATCTGTTCTGGGCTGGGCCGCCGATTCCTACCTCGCTGCTTGGACAGCTCGCGTGCCGATTGGCGGAAATGCTGTTGTTGTATCTGTTCTGGCTGGGCCGGCCGATTCCTACCCGCTGCTTGGACAGCTCGCCTTGGCGGAAATGTTGTTGTTGTATCTGTTCTGGGGACAGCTCGGGCCAGGTTGTTGATTCCTACCGATTCCCACCCGCTGCTTGGACAGCTGCTTGGACTGTTCTCTGGGCCGGGCCGATTCCTACCCGCTGCTGGACAGCTCGCCCTGGCGAAATGCTGTTGTTGTATCTGTTCTGGGTCGGGCCGGGCCGATTCCTACCGCTGCTTGGACAGCTCGCCTTGGCGGAAATGCTGTTGTTGTATCTGTTCTGGGCTGGGCCGTGCCGATTCCTACCTGCTTGGACAGCTCGCCTTTGGCGGAAATGCTGTTGTTGTATCTGTTCTGGGCTGGGCCGGGCCGATTCTACCGCTGCTTGGACAGCTCGCCTTGGCGGAAATGCTGTTGTTGTTGTTCTGGCTCCAGGCCTTCCTACCCGCTGGGTCAGCTCGCCTTGGCGGAAATGCTGTTGTTGATCTGTTCTGGTCTGGGCCGGGCCGCTGCCGCTTGGACAGCTCGCCTGGCGGAAATGCTGTTGTTGTATCTGTTCTGGGCTCCTGCCCGCTGGCCTTGGGGAAATACTGATTCCTACCCGCTGCTTGGACAGCTCGCCTTGGCGGAAATGCTGTTGTTGTATCTGTTCTGGGCTGGGCTGGGCCGATTCTACCGCTGCTTGGACAGCTCGCCTTGGCGGAAATGCTGTTGTTCTGTTCTGGGTCGGGCCGAGGCCGATTCCCATTCCTTGGACTCGCCTTGGCGGAAATGCTGTTGGACAGGGTCGGGCCAGGCCGCCTTGGCGGAAAAATGCTGTTGTTGTATCTGTTCTGGGTCGGGCCAGGCCGATTCCTAACCGCTGCTTGGATAGCTCGCCTTGGCGGAAATGCTGTTGTTGTATCTGTTCTGGGTCAGGCCAGGCCGATTCCTACCGCTGCTTGACAGCTCGCCTTGGCGGAAATGCTGTTGTTGTATCTGTTTGGCTGGCCAGGCCGATTCCTTACCCGCTGCTGGACAGCTCGCCTTGGCGGAAATGCTGTTGTTGTATCTTTTCTCTGTCGGGCCAGGCGGATTCCCACCTGCTGCTTGGACAGCTCGCCTTGGCGGAAATGCTGTTGTTGTATCTGTTCTGGGTCGGGCCGGGCCGATTCCTACCCGCTGCTTTGGACAGCTCGCCTTGGCGGAAATGGGCTGGGCCCGTTGTTGGACAGCTCGCTCTTGGCGATATGCTGTGTTGTATCTGTTCTGGTCGGGCCGGGCCGATTCCTACCCGCTGCTTGGACAGCTCGCCTTGGCGGAAATGCTGTTGTTGTATCTGTTCTGGGCTGGGCCAGGCCGATTCCTACCTCGCTGCTTGGACAGCTCGCCTTGGCGGAAATGCTGTTGTTGTATCTGTTCTGGGCCGGGCCAGGCCGATTCCTACCCGCTGCTTGGACAGCTCGCCTTGGCGGAAATGCTGTTGTTGTATCTGTTCTGGGCTGGGCCGGGCCGATTCCTACCCGCTGCTTGGACAGCTCGCCTTGGCGGAAATGCTGTTGTTGTATCCGTTCTGGGCTGGGCCGGGCCGATTCCTACCGCTGCTTGGACAGCTCGCCTTGGCGGAAATGCTGTTGTTGTATCTGTTCTGGGCGGGCCAGGCCGATTCCTACCCGCTGCTTGGACAGCTCGCCTTGGCGGAAATGCTGTTGTTGTATCTGTTCTGGGGGCCGGGCCGATTCCCTACCGCCCGCTTGGACAGCTCGCCTTGGCGGAAATGCTGTTGTTGTATCTGTTCTGGGTCGGGCCAGGCCGATTCCTACCTCGCTGCTTGGACAGCTCTGGGCTGGGCCGGGCCGATTCCTACCGCCTTGGCGCCTTGGAAATGTTGTTGTTGTATCTGTTCTGGGTCTGGGCCGGCCGATTCCTACCCGCTGCTTGGACAGCTCGCCTTGGCGGAAATGCTGTTGTTGTATCTGTTCTGGGCTGGGCCAGGCCGATTCCCTACCTTCTGGGTCAGGACAGCTCGCCTTGGCGGAAATGCTGTTGTTGTATCTGTTCTGGGCTGGGCCAGGCCGATTCCTACCCGCTGCTTGGACATCTTGCCTTGGCGGAAATGCTGTTGTTGTATCTGTTCTGGGTCGGGCCAGGCCGATTCCTACCCGCTGCTTGGACAGCTCGCCTTGGCGGAAATGCCTTGTTGTATCTGTTCTGGGCTGGGCCGGATTCCTGCCGCTTGGGACAGCTCGAAATTCCCTCCGCCCGATTGGCGGAAATGTGCTTGTTGTATCTGTTCTGGGTCAGGCCAGGCCGATTCCTCCGCTGCTTGGACAGCTCGCCTTGGCGGAAATGCTGTTGTTGTATCTGTTCTGGGCTGGGCCGGGCCGATTCCCTACCCCGCTGCTTGGACAGCTCGCCTTGGCGGAAATGCTGTTGTTGTATCTGTTCTGGTCTGGGCCAGGCCGATTCCTACCCGCTGCTTGGACAGCTCGCCTTGGCGGAAATGCTGTTGTTGTATCTGTTCTGGGCTGGGCCAGGCCGATTCCTACCCCGCTGCTGACAGCTCGCCTTGGCGGAAATGCTGTTGTTGTATCTGTTCTGGGCTGGGCCGGGCCGGGCTGCGGACAGCTCCTTGTTGTTGTATCTGTTCTGCGCCGGGCCGGGCCGATTCCTGCTTCACCGCCCAGCGGAAATGCTGCTGGGCTTCCTACCCGGCTTGGACAGCTCGCCTTGGCGGAAATGCTGTTGTTGTATCTGTTCTGCGCTGGGCCGGGCGGATTCCGCTGGCTTGGCTGGGCCTACCCGCTGCTTGATTCTACCCGCTGCTTTTGGACAGCTCGCCTTGGCGGAAATGCTGTTGTTGTATCTGTTCTGGGTCAGGCCAGGCCGATTCCTTTACCGCTGCTTGGACAGCTCGCCTTGGCGGAAATGCTGTTGTTGTATCTGTTCTGGGGCGGGCCAGGCCGATTCCTACCCGCTGCTTGGACAGCTCGCCTTGGCGGAAATGCTGTTGTTGTATCTGTTCTGGGCTGGGCCGGGCCGATTCCTACCTGCTGCTTGGACAGCTCGCCTTGGCGGAAATGTTGTTGTTGTATCTGTTCTGGTCGGGCCAGGCCGATTCCTACCCGCTTTCTGGACAGCTCGCCTTGGCGGAAATGCTGTTGTTGTATCTGTTCTGGGTCGGGCCAGGCCGATTCCTACCCGCTGCTTGGACAGCTCGCCTTGGCGGGAAATGCTGTTGTTGTATCTGTTCTGGGCTGGGCCGGGCCGATTCCTACCCGCTGCTGCTTGGACAGCTCCTTTGGCGGAAATGCTGTTGTTGTATCTGTTCTGGGCTGGGCCGGGCCGATTCCCCGCTGCTTGGACAGCTCGCCTTGGCTGCTGTTCTGGGCTGGACAGCTCCCGCCTTGGACAGCTCGGAAATGCTGTTGTTGTATCTGTTCTGGGCTCGGGCCAGGCCGATTCCTACCCGCTGCTTGGACAGCTCGCCTTGGCGGAAATGCTGTTGTTGTATCTGTTCTGGACACTGGGCGGGCGATTCCTACCGGGCTGGATCTTCCTACCCGCTGCTTGACAGCTCGCCTTGGCGGAAATGCTGTTGTTGTATCTGTTCTGGGCTGTATCCGTTCTGGACAGCTAGCCAGGCCGATTCCTGTTGTTGTATCTGTTCTGGGCTGGGCCGGGCAGATTCCCTGCCGCTGCTTGACAGCTCGCCTCGGGAAATGCTGTTGTTGTATCTGTTCTGGGTCAGGCCAGGCCGATTCCTACCCGCTGCTTGGACAGCTCGCCTTGGCGAAATGCTGTTGTTGTATCTGTTCTGGTCGGGCCAGGCCGATTCCTACCCGCTGCTTGGACAGCTCGCCTTGGCGGAAATGCTGTTGTTGTATCTACCCATTCTGGGCTGGGCGGGCCGATTCCCACCTGCCGATTCCTACCCGCTGTTCTTGGACAGCTCGCCTTGGCGGAAATGGCGGAAATGTTGTTGTATCTGTTCTGGGTCGGGGCTGGGCCGATTCCCACCCGCTGCTTGGACAGCTTCGCCTTGGCGGAAATGCTGGTGTTGTATCTGTTCTGGGATGGGCCAGGCCGATTCCTACCCTTGGACTGCTTGGCGGACAGCTGTTGTTGTATCTTTTTCTGCTTGGCGGAAATGCCAGCTCGCTGCTGTTGTATCTGTTCTGGGTCGGGCCAGGCCGATTCCTCACCCGCTGCTTGGGACAGCTCGCCTTGGCGGAAATGCTGTTGTTGTATCCGTTCTGGGTCGGGCCAGGCCGATTCCTACCCGCTGCTTGGATAGCTCGCCTTGGCGGAAATGCTGTTGTTGTATCTGTTCTGGGTCGGGCCAGGCCGATTCCTACCTGCCGCTTGGACAGCTCGCCTTGGCGGAAATGCTGTTGTTGTATCTGTTCTGGGTCGGCCAGGCCGATTCCCCACCCGCTGCTTGGACAGCTCCTTGGCGGAAATGCTGGTGTTGTATCTGTTCTGGTCGGCCAGGCTGATTCCTACCCCGCTGCTTGGACAGCTGTTCTGGCCCGGGCCGATTCCTTGGCGGAAATGTTGTTGTTGTATCTGTTTCTGGGTCCCTACCCGGGCCAGGCCTGTTGTTGTGTCCTGGGCTGGAGCCGGAGCCGACCCTCCCGCTGCTTGGACAGCTCGCCTTGGCGGAAATGCTGTTGTTGTATCTGTTCTGGGTCGGGCCAGGCCGATTCCTACCCGCTGCTTGGACAGCTCGCCTTGGCGGAAATGCTGTTGTTGTATTCTGTTCTGGGTCGGGCCGGGCCGATTCCTACCCGCTGCTTGGACAGCTCGCCTTGGCGGAAATGCTGTTGTTGTATCTGTTCTGGGCGGGCCAGGCCGATTCCACCCGCTGCTTGGACAGCTCGCCTTGGCGGAAATGCTGTTGTTGTATCTGTTCTGGGTCAGCCGGGCCGATTCCCACCCGCTGCTTGGACAGCTCGCCTTGGCGGAAATGCTGTTGTTGTATCTGTTCTGGTCGGCCAGCCGATTCCTCACCCGCTGCTTGGACAGCTTTGCCTTGGCGGAAATGTTGTTGTATCTGTTCTGGGCTGGGCCAGGCCGATTCCTACCCGCTGCTTGGACAGCTCGCCTTGGCGGAAATGCTGTTGTTGTATCCGTTCTGGGCTGGCCGGGCCGATTCCTACCCGCTGCTTGGACAGCCGCCTTGGCGGAAATGCTGTTGTTGTATCTGTTCTGGCTGGGCCGGGCCGATTCCTACCCGCTGCTTGGACAGCTGCCCTGGCGGAAATTGTTGTTGTTGTATCGTTCCCACCCGCTGCTGGGCTCGGGCCTGTTGATTCCTGGGCCCGCCGCTTGGACAGCCTGCCTTGGCGGAAATGCTGTTGTTGTATCTGTTCTGGGTCCGGGCCAGGCCGATTCCTACACGCTGCTTGGACAGCTCGCCTTGGCGGAAATGCCTTGTTGTTGTATCTGTTCTGGGCTGGCCAGCCGATTCCCAACCTGCTGCTTGGACAGCTCGCCTTGGCGGAAATGCTGTTGTTGTATCTGTTCTGGGCTGGGCCAGGCCGATTCCTACCCGCTGCTTGACAGCTCGCGCCTTGGCGGAAATGTTGTTGTTGTATCTGTTCTGGGCTGGGCCAGGCCGATTCCTACCCGCTGCTTGGACAGCCTGCCTTGGCGGAAATGTTGTTGTTGTATCTGTTCTGGGCTGGGCAGGCCGATTCCTACCTGCTGCTTGGACAGCTCGCCTTGGCGGAAATGCTGTTGTTGTATCTGTTCTGGGCCGGGCAAGGCCGATTCCTCACCTGCTGCTTGGACAGCTCGCCTTGGCGGAAATGTTGTTGTTGGGCTGGGCCGGGCTGTTCTGGGCTGGGCCGATTGTTGCAACCTGTTCTGCGCTGGGCCACATTCCTATCTCGCCAGCTCGCCTTGGCGGAAATGCTGTTGTTGTATCTGTTCTGGCTGGGCGTGCCGATTCCTACCCGCTGCTTGGACAGCTCTGCCTTGGCGGAAATGCATTTGTTGTATCTGTTCTGGGACGGGCCGAGCCGATTCCTACCCGCTGTTTGGACAGCTCGCCTGGCGGGAAATGCTGTTGTTGTATCTGTTCTGGGTCGGGCCAGGCCGATTCCTACCGCTGCTTGGACAGCTCGCCTTTGGCGGAAATGCTGTTGTTGTATCTGTTCTGGGTCGGCCAGGCCGATTCCTCACCTGCTGCTTGGACAGCTGTTGTTATCTTGGCGGAAATGTTGTTGTTGGCGATCTGTTCTGGGGCCGGGCCGATTCCGATTCTACCCGCTGCTTGGACAGCTCGCCTGGCGGAAATGTGTGTTGTATCTGTTCTGGGCTGGGCCGGGCCGATTCCTACCCGCTGCTTGGACAGCTCGCCTTGGCGGAAATGCTGTTGTTGTATCTGTTCTGGCCGGGCCAGGCGATTCCTACCCGCTGTTTGGACAGCTCGCCTCGGCGGAAATGCTGTTGTTGTATCTGTTCTGGGCTGGGCCGGGCCGATTCCTACCCGCTGCTTGGACAGCACGCCTTGGCGGAAATGCTGTTGTTGTATCTGTTCTGCGCCGGGCCGGGCCGATTCCTACCCGCTGCTTGGACAGCTCGCCTTGGCGGAAATGCTGTTGTTGTATCTGTTCTGGGTGGGCCAGGCCGATTCCTACCTGCTGCTTGGACAGCTCGCCTTGGCGGAAATGCTGTTGTTGTATCTGTTCTGGGTCGGGCCAGGCCGATTCCTTACCTGCTGCTTGGACAGCTCGCCTTGGCGGAAATGCTGTTGTTGTATCTGTCTGGGTCGGGCCAGGCCCGATTCCTACCTGCTGCTTGGACAGCTCGCCTTTGGCGGAAATGCTGTTGTTGTATCTGTTCTGGCTGGGCCGTTGCCGATCTGTTTGAGGTTGGGCCCTTCCTGCTGCTTGGACAGCTGGCCTTGGCGGAAATGCTGTTGTTGTATCTGTTCTGGGCTGGGCCGGGCCGATTCCTACCGCTGATTCAGCTACCCGGCTGCTTTGGATCAGCTAGCCTTGGCAGAAATGTTGTTGTTGTATCTGTTCTGGGTCGGCCTGGGCTGGGCCGATTCCGACCTGCTGTTTGGACAGCTTCGCCCGGCGGAAATGCTGTTGTTGTATCTGTTCTGGGTTGGGCCGGGCCGATTCCTACCCGCTGCTTGGACAGCTCGCCTTGGCGGAAATGCTGTTGTTGTATCTGTTCTCTGGGCCGGGCCAGGCCGATTCCTTTACCTGCTGCTTGGACAGCTCGCCCTTGGCGGAAATGCTGTTGTTGTATCTGTTCTGGGTCTGGCCAGGCCGATTCCTACCTGCTGCTTGGACAGCTGGCCTTGGCGGAAATGTTGTTGTTGTATCTGTTCTGCGCTTTGGCCGGGCCGATTTTCACCGCTGCTTGGACAGCTCGCCTTTGGCGGAAATGTTGTTGTTGTATCTGTTCTGGGTTGGGCCAGGCCGATTCCTACCCGCTGCTTGGACAGCTCGCCTTGGCGGAAATGCTGTTGTTGTATCTGTTCTGTCGCCGGGCCAGGCCGATTTCACCCGCTGCTTGGACAGCTCGCCTTGGCGGAAATGTTGTTGTATCTGTTCTGTATTCCTACCGCTGCTTGGACAGCTCGCCTTGGCGGAAATGCTGTTGGCCTGTTCTGGGCCGGGCCGATTCCTACCCGCTGCTTGGACAGCTCTCGCCTTGGCGGAAATGCTGTTGTTGTATCTGTTCTGGTCGGGCCAGGCCGATTCTCACCCGCTGCTTGGACAGCTCGCCTTGGCGGAAATGCTGTTGTTGTTGTATCTGTTCTGGGCTGGGCCAGGCGATTCCCAACCGGGCTTGGATAGCTCGCCTTGGCGAAATGTTGTTGTATCTGTTCTGGTTGGGCCAGGCCGATTCTTACCGCTGCTTGACAGCCCGCCTTGGCGGAAATGCTGTTGTTGTATCTGTTCTGGGTGGGCCAGGCCGATTCCTACCTGCTGCTTGGACAGCACTCGCCTTGGCGGAAATGCTGTTGTTGTATCTGTTCTGGGTCGGGCCGGGCCGATTCCTACCCGCTGCTTGGACAGCTCGCCTTGGCGGAAATGCTGTTGTTGTATCTGTTCTGGGCTGGGCCGGGCCGATTCCACCCGCCGCTTGGACAGCTCGCCTTGGCGGAAATGCTGTTGTTGTATCTGTTCTGGGGCTGGGCCGGGCGGATTCCTATCCGCTGCTTGGACAGCTCGCCTTGGCGGAAATGCTGTTGTTGTATCTGTTCTGGGTCGGCCACAGGCCGATTCCTACCCGCTGCTTGGACAGCTCGCCTTGGCGGAAATGCTGTTGTTGTATCTGTTCTGGTCGGGCCAGGCCGATTCCTAAACCGCTGCTTGATAGCTCGCCTTGGCGGAAATGCTGTTGTTGTATCTGTTCTGGGTCGGGCCAGGCCGATTGTTACCTGCTGCTTGGACAGCTGCCTTGGCGGAAATGCTGTTGTTGTATCTGTTCTGGGTCGGCCAGGCCGATTGTTACCCGCTGCTTGGACAGCTCGCCTTGGCGGAAATGCTGTTGTTGTATCTGTTTTGGGTCGGGCCAGGCCGATTCCTACCGCTGCTTGGACAGCTCGCCTTTGGCGGAAATGCTGTTGTTGTATCTGTTCTGGGTCGGGCCAGGCCGATTCCCTACCCGCCGTTGGACTGCTTGGACAGCCTTGCCTGTTGGGCTGGGCCGGGCCGATGCTGTTGTTGTATCTGTTCTGGGCGCTGGGCCGGGCGGATCCTATCCGCTGCTTGGACAGCTCGCCTTGGCGGAAATGCTGTTGTTGTATCTGTTCTGGTCAACCAGGCGATTCCTACCCGCTGCTTGGACAGCTCGCCTTGGCGGAAAATGCTGTTGTTGTATCTGTTCTGGGTCGGCCAGGCCGATTCCTAACTGCTGCTTGGATAGCTCGCCTTGGCGGAAAAATGCTGTTGTTGTATCTGTTCTGGGTTGGGCCAGGCCGATTGTTACCCGCTGCTTGGACAGCTCGCCTTGGCGGAAAATGCTGTTGTTGTATCTTTCTGGGTGGGCCAGGCCGATTCCTACCCGCTGCTTGGACAGCTCGCCTTGGCGGAAATGCTGTTGTTGTATCTGTTCTGGGGTTGGGCCGGGCCGATTCCTACCCGCTGCTTGGACAGCTCGCCTTGGCGGAAATGCTGTTGTTGTATCTGTTCTGGGCCGGGCCGGGCCGATTCCTACCCGCTGCTTGGACAGCTCGCCTGGCGGAAATGTGTTGTTGTATCTGTTCTGGGCTGGGCCGGGCCGATTCCCAACCGCTGCTGGACAGCTCGCCTTGGCGGAAATGCTGTTGTTGTATCTGTTCTGGGTCGGGCCAGGCCGATTCCTACCCGCTGCTTGGACAGCTCGCCTTGGCGGAAATGCTGTTGTTGTATCTGTTCTGGGTCGGGCCAGGCCGATTCCTACCTGCTGCTTGGACAGCTCGCCTTGGCGGAAATGCTGTTGTTGTATCTGTTCTGGGTCGGGCCGGGCCGATTCCACCTGCTGCTTGGACAGCTCGCCTTGGCGGAAATGTTGTTGTTGTATCTGTTCTGGGCTGGGCCGGGCCGATTCCTACCCGCTGCTTGGACAGCTCGCCTTGGCGGAAATGCTGTTGTTGTATCTGTTCTGGGCAGGGCCGGGCGATTCCTACCCGCTGCTTGGACAGCTCGCCTTGGCGGAAATGCTGTTGTTGTATCTGTTCTGGGTCGGGCCCGGCTGATTCCTACCCGCTGCTTGGACAGCTCGCCTTGGCGGAAATGCTGTTGTTGTATCTGTTCTGGCTCGGGCCGGGCCGATTCCTCACCCGCTGCTTGGACAGCTCGCCTTGGCGAAAATGTTGTTGTTGTATCTGTTCTGGGTCGGGCCAGGCCGATTCCTACCCGCTGCTTGACAGCTTGCCTTGGCGGAAATGCTGTTGTTGTATCTGTTCTGGTCGGGCCAGGCCGATTCCTACCCGCTGCTTGGACAGCTCGCCTTGGCGGTAATGCTGTTGTTGTATCTTATTCTGGGCTGGGCCAGGCCGATTCCTACCCGCTTCTTGGACAGCTTGCCTTGGCAGAAATGCTGTTGAAATCTGTTCTGGCTGGGCCGGGCCGATCCACCCCTGTTTGGACAGGCCAGGCGGAAATTCCTATTTGTATCTGCTGCTTGGATTCCTACCGCGCACAGCTCGCCTTGGCGGGAAATGCTGTTGTTGTATCTGTTCTGGGTGGGCCAGGCCGATTCCACCCGCTGCTTGGACAGCTGCCTTGGCGGAAATGCTGTTGTTGTATCTGTTCTGGTCGGGTAAGGCCGATTCCCACCTGCTGCTTGGACAGCTCGCCTTGGCGGAAATGCTGGGCCAGACCAGTTGTTGTTGTATCTGTTCTGGTCTGGGCCAGGCCGATTCCTACCCGCTGCTTGGACAGCTCGCCTTGGCGGAAATGCTGTTGTTGTATCTGTTCTGGGTCGGGCCAGGCCGATTCCTACCTGCTGCTTGGACAGCTCGCCTTGGCGGAAATGCTGTTGTTGTATCTGTTCTGGGTCGGGCCAGGCCGATTCCACAACTGCTTGGACAGCTCGCCTTGGCGGAAATGCTGTTGTATCTGTTCTGGGTCGGGCAAGGCCGATTCCTACCCGCTGTTTGGACAGCTCGCCTTGGCGGAAATGCTGTTGTTGTATCTGTTCTGGGTCGGGCCGGGCCGATTCCTACCCGCTGTTTGGACAGCTCGCCTTATGGAAATGCTGTTGTTGTATCTGTTCTGGGCTGGGCCAATGCCGATTCCTACCGCTGCTTGGACAGCACGCCTTGGCGGAAATGCCCGTTGTTGTATCTGTTCTGGCCGGGTCAGGGCCGATTCCTACCCGCTGCTTGGACAGCTCGCCTTGGCGGAAATGCTGTTGTTGTATCTGTTCTGGGTTGGGCCGGGCCGATTCCTACCCGCTGCTTGGACAGCTCGCCTTGGCGGAAATGCTGTTGTTGTATCTGTTCTGGGCTGGGCCAGGGCTGATTCCTACCCGCTGCTTGGACAGCTCGCCTTGGCGGAAATGCTGTTGTTGTATCTGTTCTGGTCGGGCCAGGCCGATTCCACCACTTGCTTGGACAGCTCGCCTTGGCGGAAATGCTTGTTGTATCTGTTCTGGTCGGGCCAGGCCGATTCCTAACCGCTGCTTGGATAGCTCGCCTTGGCGGAAATGCTGTTGTTGTATCTGTTCTGGTCGGGCCAGGCCGATTGTATCCTGGGTCACCCGCTGCTTGACAGCTCGCCTTGGCGGAAATGCTGTTGTTGTATCTGTTCTGGTCGGGCCAGGCCGATTCCTACCCGCTGCTTGGACAGCTCCCCTTGGCGGAAATGCTGTTGTTGTATCTGTTCTGGGTCGGGGCCGGGCCTGATTCTGCACCCGCTGCTTCTGGACAGCTCGCCTTGGCGGAAATGCTGTTGTTGTATCTGTTCTGGCTGGGCAGTGCCGATTCCTACCCGCTGCTTGGACAGCTCGCCTTGGCGGAAATGCTGTTGTTGTATCTGTTCTGGCCGGGCCGGGCCGATTCCCACCCGCTGTTTGGACAGCTCGCCTTGGCGGAAATGTTGTTGTATCTGTTCTGGCTGGGCAGGCCGATTCCTACCCGCTGCTTGGACAGCACGCCTTGGCGGAAATGCTGTTGTTGTATCTGTTCTGGGCAGCCGGGATTCCTAGGCTGATTCCTCGGACCTGCTGCTTGGACAGCTCTTGGACCCCTGGCGGAAATGCTGTTGTTGTATCTGTTCTGGCTGGGCCGGGCCGATTCCCACCCGCTGCTTGGACAGCCTGCGCCTTGGCGGAAATGTTGTTGTTGTATCTGTTCTGGGCTGGGCCAGGCCCATTCCTACCCGCTGCTTGGACAGCTCGCCTTGGCGGAAATGCTGTTGTTGTATCTGTTCTGCGTCGGGCCGGGCCGATTCCACCCGCTGTTTTTTGGACAGCTCGCCTTGGCGGAAATGTTGTTGTTGTATCTGTTCTGGGCTGGGCCGGGCCGATTCCTACCCGCTGCTTGGACAGCTCGCCTTGGCGGAAATGCTGTTGTTGTATCTGTTCTGGCTGGGCCGGGCCGATTCCTACCCGCTTCTTGGACAGCTCGCCTTGGCAGAAATGCTGTTGTTGTATCTGTTCTGGGTCGGGCCAGGCCGATTCCTAACCGCTGCTTGGACAGCTCGCCCTCGGCGGAAATGCTGTTGTTGTATCTGTTCTGGTCGGGCGCAGGCCGATTCCACCCGCTGCTTGGACAGCACGCCTGGCGGAAATGCTGTTGTTGTATCTGTTCTGGCCGGGCAGGGCCGATTCCTACCCGCTGCTTGGACAGCACGCCTTGGCGGAAATGCTGTTGATGTATCTGTTCTGGCCGGCCCGGGCCGATTCCTACCTGCTGCTTGGACAGCTCGCCTTGGCGGAAATGTGTTGTTGTATCTGTTCTGCGCTAGGCTGGGCCGATTCCTACCTGCTGCTTGGACAGCTCGCCTTTGGCGGAAATGCTGTTGTTGTCTTTCTTCTGGGTCGGGCCAGCCGATTCCTACCTGCTGCTTGGACAGCTCGCCTTTGGCGGAAATGCTGTTGTTGTATCTGTTCTGGTCGGGTCAGGCCGATTCCAACCGCTGCTTGATAGCTCTCGCCTTGGCGGAAATGCTGTTGTTGTATCTGTTCTGGCGGGCCAGGCCGATTCCCAACCGCTGCTTGACATCTCGCCTGGCGGAAATGTTGTTGTTGTATCTGTTCTGGTCGGGCCAGGTGATTCCCCACCTGCTGCTTGACAGCTCGCCTTGGCGGAAATGCTGTTGTTGTATCTGTTCTGGTCGGGCCAGGGCCGATTCTACCCGCTGCTTGGACAGCCTGCCTTGGCGGAAATGCTGTTGTTGTATCTGTTCTGGCTTGGCCGGGCCGATTCCTACCTGCTGCTTGGACAGCTCGCCTTGGCGGAAATGCTGTTGTTGTATCTGTTCTGGGTGGGCCAGGCCGATTCCTACCCGCTGCTTGGACAGCTCGCCTTGGCGGAAATGCTGTTGTTGTATCTGTTCTGGCTCGGGCCGGGCCGATTCCTACCCGCTGTTTGGACAGCACGCCTTGGCGGAAATGCTGTTGTATCTGTTCTGGGTCGGGCCGGGCTGATTCCCTACCCGCTGCTTGGACAGTACGCCTTGGCGGAAATGCTGTTGTTGTATCTGTTCTGGCTCGGCCAGCGGATTCCTATCCGCTGCTTGGACAGCTCGCCTTGGCGGAAATGCTGTTGTTGTATCTGTTCTGGCGGGTCAGCCGGATTCCTACCTGCTGCTTGGACAGCTCGCCTTTGGCGGAAATGCTGTTGTTGTATCTGTTCTGGTCGTTGGGCTGATTCCTAACCGCTGCTTGACAGCTCGCCTTGGCGGAAATGCTGTTGTTGTATCTGTTCTGTCGGGCCAGGCCGATTCCTACCTGCTGCTTGGACAGCTCGCCTTGGCGGAAATGCTGTTGTTGTATCTGTTCTGGTCGGGCCAGGCCGATTCCCACCCGCTGCTTGGACAGCTCGCCTTGGCGGAAATGCTGTTGTTGTATCTTTCTGGGTCGGGCCAGGCCGATTCCCAACCGCTGCTTGGACAGCTCGCCCTGGCGGAAATGCTGTTGTTGTATTCGTTCTGGTCGGGCCAGGCCGATTCCCACCTGCTGCTTGGACAGCCTGCCTTGGCGGAAATGCTGTTGTTGTATCTGTTCTGGGTCGGCCAGGCGATTCCCTACCTGCTGCTTGGACAGCACGCCTTGGCGGAAATGTTGTTGTTGTATCTGTTCTGGCTGGGCTGGGCTGATTCCTACCCGCTGTTTGGACAGCTGCCCCTTGGCGGAAATGTTGTTGTTGTATCTGTTCTGGCTGGGCCGGGCCGATTCCTACCCGCTGCTTGGACAGCACGCCTTATGGAAATGCTGTTGTTGTATCTGTTCTGGGCTGGGCACGATTCCTACCCGCTGCTTGGACAGCTCGCCTTGGCGGAAATGCTGTTGTTGTATCTGTTCTGGTCGGGCCAGGCCGATTCCTACCCGCTGTTTGACAGCTCGCCTTGGCGGAAATGCTGTTGTTGTATCTGTTCTGGTCGGGCCAGGCCGATTCCCAACTGCTGCTTGGACAGCTCGCCTTGGCGGAAATGCTTTTGTTGTATCTGTTCTGGTCGGGCCAGGCCGATTCCTACCCGCTGCTTGGACAGCCTGCCTTGGCGGAAATGCTGTTGTTGTATCTGTTCTGGTCGGGCCAGGCCGATTCCTACCCGCTGCTTGGACAGCTCGCCTTGGCGGAAATGTTGTTGTTGTATCTGTTCTGGCTGGGCCGGGCCGATTCACCCTGCTTGGACAGCTCGCCTTGGCGGAAATGCTGTTGTTGTATCTGTTCTGGGTCGGGCTCAGCCGATTCCTACCCGCTGTTTGGACAGCTTGCCTTGGCGGGAAATGCTGTTGTTGTATCTGTTCTGGCTGGGCCAGCCGATTCCTACCTGCTGTTTGGACAGCTCGCCCGGCGGAAATGCTGTTGTTGTATCTGTTCTGGGCTGGGTCAGCCGATTCCTACCCGCTGCTTGGACAGCTTGCCTTGGCGGAAATGCTGTTGTTGTATCTGTTCTGGCCGGCCCGGGCCGATTCTACCCGCTGCTTGGACAGCTCGCCTGGCGGAAATGCTGTTGTTGTATCTGTTCTGGCTGGGCTGGCGGATTCCTACCCGCTGCTTGGACAGCTCGCCTCTGGCGGAAATGCTGTTGTTGTATCCGTTCTGGGTTGGCCAGGTGGATTTTCATCCGCTGCTTGACAGCTCGGCCTGGCGGAAAATGCTGTTGTTGTATCTGTTCTGGGTCGGGCCAGGCTGATTCACACCTGCTGCTTGATACAGCTCGCCCTGGCGGAAATGCTGTTGTTGTATCTGTTCTGGTCGGGCCAGGCCGATTCCCTAACCGCTGCTTGGACAGCTCGCCTTGGCGGAAATGTTGTTGTTGTATCTGTTCTGGGTCGGGCCAGGCCGATTGTTACCCGCTGCTTGGACAGCCTGCCTTGGCGGGAAATGCTGTTGTTGTATCTGTTCTGGGTTGGGGCAGGGCCGATTCCTACCTGGCGCTTGGACAGCTTTGCCTTGGCGGAAATGTTGTTGTTGTATCTGTTCTGGGCGGCCGGGGCCGATTCCAACTGCTGCTTGGACAGCTCGCCTTGGCGGAAATGCTGTTGTTGTATCTGTTCTGGCTGGGCCAGGCCGATTCCTACCTGCTGCTTGGACAGTAGCCGCCTTGGCGGAAATGCTGTTGTTGTATCTGTTCTGGGCTGGGCCAGGCCATTCCACCACCCGCTGCTTGGACAGCTCGCCTTTGGCGGAAAGCTGTTGTTGTATCTGTTCTGGGTGGGCTGTGCCGATTCCAGCTGCGGTTTGGACATCCTGCCTTGGCGGAAATGTGCAGTTGTTGTATCTGTTTGGGTTGGGCAGGCCGATTCCCTGGCGGAAAGCCTGCCTTGTTGTTGTTGTATCTGTTCTGGCGGGGCTGGCCGATTCCTCACCGCTGCTTGGACAGCTCGCCTTGGCGGAAATGCTGTTGTTGTATCTGTTCTGGGCTGGCCAGGCCGATTCCCACCCGCTGCTGGACAGCTCGCCTTTGGCGGAAATGCTGTTGTTGTATCTGTTCTGGTCTGGGCCAGGCCGATTCCCACCTGCTGCTTTGGACAGCTCGCCTTGGCGGAAATGCTGTTGTTGTATCTGTTCTGGGTCGGGGCCAGGCCGATTCCCTACCGCTGCTTGGACAGCTCGCCTTGGCGGAAAATGCAGTTGTTGTATCTGTTCTGGGTCGGGCCAGGCCGATTCCTACCGCTGCTTGGACAGCTCGCCTTGGGGAAATGCTGTTGTTGTATCTTGTTCTGGGTCGGCCAGGCTGATTCCTACCTGCTGCTTGGACAGCTCGCCTTGGCGGAAATGCTGTTGTTGTATCTGTTCTGGGTCGGCCAGGCGATTCCAACCGCTGCTTGACAGCTCGCCTTGGCGGAAATGCTGTTGTTGTATCTGTTCTGGTCGGGCCAGGCCGATTCCCTACCCGCTGTTTGGACAGCTCGCCTTTGGCGGAAATGCTGTTGTTGTATCTGTTCTGGTCGGGCTGGGCCGATTCCTACCTGCTTTGGACAGCTCGCCCTTGGCGGAAATGCTGTTGTTGTATCGTTTGGTCAGGCCGCTGGCCGATTCCGCCCCGCTGCTTGGACAGCTCGCCTGGCGGAAAAATGCTGTTGTTGTATCTGTTCTGCCGGGCTGGTGGATTCCTACCTGCTTGCTTGACAGCTCGCCTTGGCGGAAATGTTGTTGTTGTATCTGTTCTGGCTGGGCTGGGCGATTCCCACCCGCTGCTTGGACAGCCTTTCCGCCTGGCGGAAATGCTGTTGTTGTATCTGTTCTGGTCGGCTGGCCGATTCCCAACCGCTGTTTGATAGCCTGCCTTGGCGGAAAGGCTGTTGTTGTCTGTTCTGGTCGGGCCAGGCCGATTGTTACCCGTTGCTTGGACATCTCGCCTTGGCGGAAATGTATAGTCTTTTCTGGTCGGGCCAGGCCGATTCCTACCTGCTGCTTGGACAGTTCGCCTTGGCGGAAATGTTGTTGTTGTTGTATCTTTTGGGGTTGGGCCGGCCGATTCCTACCTGCTGCTTTGGACAGCTCGCCCTGGCGGAAATGCTGTTGTTGTATCTGTTCTGGGGCAACAGGGCTGATTCCTACCTGCTGCTTGGACAGCTCGCCTTGGCGGAAATGCTGTTGTTGTATCTGTTCTGGGCTGGGCGGGCTGATTCCTACCTGCTGTTTTGGAAAGCACGCCTGGCGGAAATGCTGTTGTTGTATCTGTTCTGGCGGCCGGGCTGATTCCTTACCCGGTTGCTTGGACAGCTCGCCTTGGCGGAAATGCTGTGTTGTATCTGTTCTGGGCTGGGCCGGGCCGATTCCTACCTGCTGCTTGGACAGCTCGCCTTTATGGAAATGCTGTTGTTGTATCTGTTCTGGCTGGCCAGGCTGATTCCTACCCGCTGCTTGACAGCTTCGCCTTGGCGGAAATGCTGTTGTTGTATCCGTTCTGGGCTCAACAGGCCACCCTACCCGCTGCTTGGACAGCTCGCCCTTGGCGGAAAATGCTGTTGTTGTATCCGTTCTGGTCGGGCCGGGCCGATTGTTGGCCTGCTGCTGGACAGCCTGCCTTGGCGGAAATGTTGTTGTTGTATCTGTTCTGGCCAGCCGGGCCGATTCCTACCCGCCTTGGACAGCCTGCCTTGGCGGAAATGTTGTTGTTGTATTGTTTGGGGTGGGCCGGGCCGATTCCTTACCCGCTGCTTGGACAGCTCGCCCTTGGCAGGAAATGCTGTTGTTGTATCTGTTCTGGCTGGGCCAGGGGCCGATTCCTACCTGGCTGCTTGGACAGCTTGCCTTGGCGGAAATGCTGTTGTTGTATCTGTTCTGGTCGGGCCAGGCCGATTCCTACCGCTTGACACATAGCTCGCCTGGCGGAAATGCTGTTGTTGTATCTGTTCTTGGGCCAGGCCGATTCCTAACCGCTGCTTTGGATAGCTCGCCTATGGAAATGCTGTTGTTGTATCTGTTCTAATCGTAACAGGCCGACTTTACCCGCTGCTTTTGACATCTTGCCCTTTGGGAAATGCTGTTGTTGCATCTGTTCTGGCCGGGCCGGGCCGATTCCTACCTGTTGCTTGGACAGCTCGCCTTGGCGGAAATGCTTTGTATCTTTTCAGGCCCCCTACCTGCCGAAAAATGCTGTTGTTGTATCTGGTTCTGGTCTGGCAAGGGCCGATTCCTACCCGCTGCTTGGACAGCTCGCCTTGGCGGAAATGCTGTTGTTGTATCTGTTCTGGGTCGGCCAGGTCATCCCTACCTGCTGCTTGACAGCTTGCCCATGGAAATGTGTTGTTGTATCTGTTCTGGATCGGGCAGGTCATTCCTACCCGCTGCTTGGACAGCTCGCCTTGGCGGAAATGCTGTTGTTGTATCTGTTCTGGTCGGGCCAGGCCGATTCCTACCTGCTGCTTGGACAGCTCTCGCCTTTGGCGGAAATGCTGTTGTTGTATCTGTTCTGGGTCGGGCCAGGCCGATTGTTACCCGCTGCTTGGACAGCTCGCCTTGGCGGAAATGCTGTTGTTGTATCTTTTCTGGGTCGGGCCAGGCCGATTCCTACCCGCTGCTTGGACAGCTCGCCTTGGCGGAAATGCTGTTGTTGTATCTGTTCTGGGTCGGGCCAGGCCGATTGTTACCCGCTGCTTGGACAGCTCGCCTTGGCGGAAATGCTGTTGTTGTATCTGTTCTGGGTCCGGGCCAGGGCCGATTCCTACCGCTGCTTGGACAGCTCGCCTTGGCGGAAATGCTGTTGTTGTATCTGTTTGGGTCGGCCAGGCCGATTCCCTACCCGCTGCTTTGGACAGCTCGCCTTGGCGGAAATGCTGTTGTTGTATCTGTTCTGGGCCGGGCCGGCCGATTCCCAACTGCTGCCGACAGCTCGCCTTGGCGGAAATGTTGTTGTTGTCTGTTCTGGGTGGCCAGGCCGATTCCTACCCGCTGCTTGGACATCTCGCCTTGGCGGAAATGTTGTTGTTGTATCTGTTCTGGGCTGGGCCGGGCCGATTCCCTACCCGCTGTTTGACAGCTCGCCTTGGCGGAAATGCTGTTGTTGTATCTGTTCTGGGCTGGGCCGGGCCGATTCTACCGCTGTTTGGACAGCTCGCCTTGGCGGAAACTGTTGTTATATCTGTTCTGCTGTTGTTGTATCTGTTGTTCTGGTGGGCCGGGCCGATTCCTAACCGCTGGCGGACAGCTCGCCATGGCGGAAATGCTGTTGTTGTGTATCTGACTGGGCTTATTCCTCGCCTTGGCTGAAATGCTGTTGTTGTATCTGTTCTGGGCTGGGCCGGGCCGATTCCCACCACTTGCTTGGACAGCTCGCCTTGGCGGAAATGCTGTTGTTGTATCCGTTCTGGGCCGCGCCTTGGCCAGGCCTGATTCCTACCCGCCGCTTGGACAGCTCGCCCTTGGCGGAAATGCTGTTGTTGTATCTGTTCTGGGTGGGCCAGGCCGATTCCTACCTGCTGCTTGGACAGCTCGCCTTGGCGGAAATGCTGTTGTTGTATCTGTTCTGGGCTGGGCCGGGCCGATTCCTACCCGCTGCTTGGAAGCTCGCCTTGGCGGAAATGCTGTTGTTGTATCTGTTCTGGGCTGGGCCGGGCCGATTCCTACCGCTGCTTGGACAGCTCGCCTTGGCGGAAATGCTGTTGTTGTATCTGTTCTGGGCTGGGCCAGGCCGATTCCTACCCGCTTCTTGGACAGCTCGCCTTGGCGGAAATGCTGTTGTTGTATCTGTTCTGGGTCGGAGCCGGGCCGATTCCTACCTGCTGCTTGGACAGCTCGCCCTTGGCGGAAATGCTGTTGTTGTATCTGTTCTGGGTCCCAGGCCGATTCCCACCCTTTCTTGGACAGCTCGCCTTGGCGGAAATGCTGTTGTTGTATCTGTTCTGGGTGGGCCAGGCCGATTGTTACCCGCTGCTTGGACAGCTCGCCTTGGCGGAAATGCTGTTGTTATCTGTTCTGGGTCGGGCCAGGCCGATTCCTACCGCCCGCCTGCTTGGACAGGGCTCGCCTTGGTTGGAATGGCTGTTGTTGTATCTGTTTTGGGTTGGGCCGGCCCATTCCCTACCCGTTGCTTGGACAGCACGTCTTGGGAAATGCTGTTGTTGTGTCTGTTCTGGGCCGGGCCGGGCCGATTCCTACCTGCTGCTTGGACAGCTCGCCTTGGGAAATGCCGTTGTTGTATCTGTTTAGGCTGGGCCGGGCCCGTTCCTACCCGCTGCTTGGACAGCTCGCCTTGGCGGAAATGCTGTTGTTCTGTTCTTGGCTGGGCCGGGCGGGATTCCAACCCGCTGCTTGATAGCTCGCCTTGGCGGAAATGCTGTTGTTGTATCTGTTCTGGGCTGGGCCGGGCCGATTCCTACCCGCTGCTTGGACATCTCCTTGGCGAAATGCTGTTGTTGTATCTGTTCTGGGTCGGCCAGGCCGATTCCTACCCATTGGGACAGCTCGCCTTGGCGGAAATGCTGTTGTTCTGGAATCTTTTTTCTTGGACAGCTCGCCTTGGCGGAAATGCTGTTGTTGTATCTGTTTGCCGGGCCGATTCCTACCACGCTGCTTGGACAAGCTCGCCTTGGCGGAAATGCTGTTGTTGTATCTGTTCTGGGTTGGGCCGGGCCGATTCCTACCGCTGCTTGGACAGCTCGCCTTGGCGGAAAATGATGTTGTTGTATCTGTTCTGGGGCTGGGCGGGCCGATTCCCTACCCGCTGCTTGGACAGCTCGCCTTGGCGGAAATGCTGTTGTTGTATCTGTTCTGGGCTGGGCCAGGCCGATTCCTACCGCTGCTTGGACGGCTCGCCTTGGCGGAAATGCTGTTGTTGTATCTGTTCTGGGCTGGGCCAGGCCGATTCCCTAACTGCTGTTTGGATAGCTCGCCTTGGCGGAAATGCTGTTGTTGTATCTGTTCTGGGCGCAGGCCGATTGTTCCCTACCGCTTTGCTTGGACAGCTCGCCTTGGCGGAAATGCTGTTGTTGTATCTGTTCTGGGTCGGGCCAGGCCGATTCCCTACCCGCTGCTTGGACAGCTCGCCTTGGCGGAAATGCTGTTGTTGTATCTGTTCTGGGTTGGGCCGGGCCGATTCCCCTACCTTGCTGCTTGGACAGCTCGCCTTGGCGGAAATGCTGTTGTTGTATCTGTTCTGGGTCCGGACAGGCCATTCCCAACCGCTGTTGGACAGCTCGCCTTGGAAATGCTGTTGTTGTATCTGTTCTGGGCTGGGCCAGTGCCGGTTTACCCGATTCCTGTTGTTGTATCTGTTTGGGGCTGGGCCGGGCCCGATTCACCCCGCTGCTTGGACAGCTCGCCTTGGCGGAAATGCTGTTGTTGTATCTGTTTCTGGGCTGGCCGGGCCGATTCCCAACGCTGCTTGATAGCTCGCCTTGGCGGAAATGCTGTTGTTGTATCTGTTCTGGGCTGGGCAGGCCGATTCCTACCCGCTGCTTGGACAGCTCGCCTTGGCGGAAATGCTGTTGTTGTATCTGTTCTGGGTTGGGCCGGGCCGATTCCTACCCGCTGTTGGACAGCTCGCCTTGGCGGAAATGTTGTTGTTGTATCTGTTCTGGGTGGGCCGGGCCGATTCCCTACCGCTGCTTGGACAGCTCGCCTTGGCGGAAATGCTGTTGTTGTATCTTTTCTGGGTCGGGCCAGGCCGATTCCTACCCGCTGCTTGGACAGCTCGCCTTTGGCGGAAATGCTGTTGTTGTATCTGTTTGGGGCAGGGCCGACCGATTCCTACCGCTGCTTGGACAGCTCGCCTTTGGCGGAAATGCTGTTGTTGTATCTGTTCTGGGCCGGGCCGGGCCGATTCCTATTCGCTGCTTGGACAGCTCGCCTTGGCTGCTGTTGTTGTCTGTTCTGGACCGGCCGGGCAGATTGTTCCTGGCTTGGCGGAAAGGCTGTTGTTGTATCTGTTCTGGGCTGGGCCGGGCGATTCCTACCCGGTGCTGGACAGCTCGCCTTGGCGGAAATGCTGTTGTTGTATCTTTTTCTGGTCGGCCAGGGCCGATTCCTACGCTGCTTGGACAGCTCGCCTTGGCGGAAATGTTGTTGTTGTATCTGTTCGGGGCTGGCCACGAACAGATTCCTACCCGCTGCTTGGACAGCTCGCCTTGGTGGAAATGCTGTTGTTGTTGTATCTGTTCTGCTCGCCTGGGCCGGGCTGTTATTGTATCTGTTTGGGGTTGGGCCTTCTACCTGCTTTCTTGGACAGCTCGCCTTGGCGGAAATGTTGTTGTTGTATCTGTTCTGGGCTGGCCGGGCCGATTCTACCCGCTGTTTGGACAAAGCTCGCCTCGGCGGAAATGCTGTTGTTGTATCTGTTCTGGGCTGGGCCGGGCCGATTCCTACCGCTGCTTGGACAGCTCGCCTTGGCGGAAATTGTTGTATTGTTCTGGGCTGGTGCCGGGCGGATTCTATCCGCTGCTTGGACAGCTCGCCTTGGCGGAAATGCTGTTGTTGTATCTGCTGTCAGGACAGGCCGATTCCTAACGCTGGCAGGACAGCTCGCCTTGGCGGAAATGCTGTTGTTGTATCTGTTCTGGCTGGGCCAGGCGGATTCCTAACCGCTGCTTGGACAGCTCGCCTTGGCGGAAATGCTGTTGTTGTATCTGTTCTGGGTCGGGCCGGGCCGATTCCCCACCCGCTGCTTGGACAGCTCGCCTTGGCGGAAATGCTGTTGTTGTATCTGTTTGGGTCGGGCCGGAATGATTCCTACCTGCTGCTTGACACAGCTCGCCTTGGCGGAAATGCTGTTGTTGTATCTGTTCTGGTCCGGGCCAGGCCGATTCCTACCCGCTGCTTGGACAGCTCGCCTTGGCGGAATGCTGTTGTTGTATCTGTTCTGGGTCCGGGCCGGGCCGATTCCTACCGCTGCTTGGACAGCTCGCCTTGGCGGAAATGCTGTTGTTGTATCTTTTCTGGGCTGGGCGGGCCGATTCCTACCGCTGCTTGGACAGCTCGCCTTGGCGAAATATGCTGTTGTTGTATCTGTTCTGGGCCGGGCCGGGCCGATTCCTGCCCGCTGCTTGACAGCTCGCCTTGGCGGAAATGCTGTTGTTGTATCTTTTCTGGGTTGGGCCGGGGCCGATTCCCACCCGCTGCTTGGACAGCTCGCCTTGGCGGAAATGCTGTTGTTGTATCTGTTCTGGCCGGGCCACCGATTCCTACCCGCTGTGGACAGCTCGCCTTGGCGGGCTGTTGTTGTATCTGTTCTGGAGCCGGGCCGTGCCGATTCCTCACCCGCTGTTTGACAGCTCGCCTTGGCGGAAATGCTGTTGTTGTATCCGTTCTGGCTGGGCGGGCCGATTCCTACCCGCTGCTTGGACAGCTCGCCTTGGCGGAAATGCTCTTGTTGTATCTGTTCTGGGCTGGGCCGGGCCGATTCCTACCCGCTGCTTGGACAGCTCGCCTTGGCGGAAATGCTGTTGTTGTATCTGTTCTGGTGGGCCGGGCCGATTCCTACCCGCTGCTTGGACAGCTTCGCCTTGGCGGAAATGCTGTTGTTGTATCTGTTCTGGGTCAGGCCAGGCCGATTCCTACCCGCTGCTTGGACAGCTCGCCCTTGGCGGAAATGCTGTTGTTGTATCTTTCTGGGTCGGGCCGGCCCGGATTCCTGCTGTTGCCTGGGCTGGACAGCTCGCCTTGGCGGAAATGCTGTTGTTGTTATCTCTGTTCTGGGTCGGGCCGGCCGATTCCCACCCGCTGTTTGGACAGCTCGCCTTGGCGGAAATGTTGTTGTTGTATCTGTTCTGGGCTGGGCCGGGCCGATTCCGACCTGCCGCTTGGACAGCTCGCCTTGGCGGAAATGTTGTTGTTGTATCTGTTCTGGGCTGGGCCGGCCGATTCCTACCGCTGTTGGACAGCTCGCCTTGGCGGAAATGTGTTATTGTATCTGTTCTGGGCTGGGCCGGGCCGGATTCCTATCCGCTGCTTGGACAGCTCGCCTTGGCGGAAATGCTGTTGTTGTATCTGTTCTGGGTCCGGGCCAGGCCGATTCTATCCGCTGCTTGGACAGCTCGCCTGGCGGAAATGCTGTTGTTGTATCTGTTCTGGGTCGGGCCAGGCCGATTCCTACCCGCTGCTTGGACAGCTCGCCTTGGCGGAAATGCTGTTGTTGTATCTGTTCTGGGTCAGGCCAGGCCGATTCCTACCGCTGCTTGGATAGCTCGCCTTGGCGGAAATGCTGTTGTTGTATCTGTTCTGGGTCCGGGCCGGGCTGATTCCAACCCCGCTGCTTGGACAGCTCGCCTTGGCGGAAATGCTGTTGTTGTATCTGTTTGGGGTTGGGCCGGGCCGATTCCAACCTGCTGCTTTGGACAGCTCGCCTTGGCGGAAATGCTGTTGTTGTGTCTGTTCTGGGCCGGGCCGGCCCGATTCTACCCGCTGCTTGGACAGCTCGCCTTTGGCGGAAATGTTGTTGTTGTATCTGTTCTGGGCTGGGCCGGGCCGATTCCTACCGCTGTGGACGGCTCGCCTTGGCGGAATGCTGTTGTTGTCTGTTCTGGGCTGGGTGGGCCGATTCTACCCGCTGTTTGGACAGCTCGCCTTGGCGGAAAAGGCTGTTGTTGTATCTGTTCTGGGCTGGGCGGGCCGATTCCTACCCGCTGTGACAGATAGCTCGCCTGGCGGAAATGCTGTTGTTGTGTCTGTTCTGGGTCGGGCCAGGCCGATTCTACCCGCTGCTTGGACAGCTCGCCTTGGCGGAAATGTTGTTGTTGTATCTGTTCTGGGCTGGGCCGGGCCGATTCCGACCTGCCGTTTGGACAGCTTGCCTTGGCGGAAATGCTGTTGTTGTATCTGTTCTGGGCTGGGCGGGCGATTCCCTACCCGCTGCTTGGACAGCTGCCTTGGCGGAAATTGTTGTATCTGTTCTGCGCTGGGCCAGGCGGATACCTATCTGGCTCGCCTGGGAAATGCTGTTGTTGTATCTGTTCTGGGTCAGGCCGATTTCCTACCGCTGCTTGGACAGCTCGCCTTGGCGGAAATGCTGTTGTTGTATCTGTTCTGGGTCGGGCCAGGCCGATTCTACCCGCTGCTTGGACAGCTCGCCTTGGCGGAAATGCTGTTGTTGTATCTGTTCTGGTCGGGACAGGCCGATTCCTAACCGCCGCTTGGATAGCTCGCCTTGGCGGAAATGCTGTTGTTGTATCTGTTCTGGGACGGGCCGATTGGTTACCCGCTGCTTGGACAGCTCGCCTTGGCGGAAATGCTGTTGTTGTATCTGTTTTGGGTTTGGGCCGGGCCGATTCCTACCCGCTGCTTGGACATCTCGCCTTGCGGAAATGCTGTTGTTGTATCTGTTCTGGGCCGGGCCGGGCCGATTCCCACCGCTGCTTGGACAGCTCGCCTTGGCGGAAATGCTGTTGTTGTATCTGTTCTGGGCTGGGCCGGGCCGATTCCCACCCGCTGCTGGACGGCTCGCCTTGGCGGAAATGCTGTTGTATCTGTTCTGGGCTGGGCCGGGCCGATTCCTACCCGCTGTTTGGACAGCTCGCCTTGGCGGAAAGGCTGTTCTTGTATCTGTTCGGGGCTGGGCGGGCCGATTCCTACCCGCTGCTTGGATAGCTCGCCTTGGCGGAAATGCTGTTGTTGTATCTTTTCTGCGCTGGGCCAGGCCCGATTCCTACCCCTGCTTGGACTCGCCTTGGCGGAAATGCTGTTGTTGTATCTGTTTGGGGTTGGGCCGGCCGATTCCTACCGCTGCTGACACAGCTCGCCTGGCGGAAATGCTGTTCTTGGGCCAGGCCGATTTTCATCTGTTCTGGGACAGCTCGGGCCTGGGCGGGCCGGGCCCTAACCGGTTCTACCGCTGCTTGGACAGCTCGCCTTGGCGGAAATGCTGTTGTTGTATCCGTTCTGGGCTGGGCCGGGCCGATTCCTACCGCTGCTTGGACAGCTCGCCTTGGCGGAAATGCTGTTGTTGTATCTGTTCTGGGCTGGGCCGGGCCGATTTCTACCCGCTGGCGGACAGCTCGCCTTGGCGGAAATGCTCTTGTTGTATCTGTTCTGGCTGGGCCGGGCCCATTCCTACCCGCTGCGGACAGCTCGCCTTGGCGGAAATGCTGTTGTTTATATCTGTTCTGGGTCGGGCCAGGCCGATTCCTACCGCTGCTTGGACAGCTCGCCTGCGGAAATGTGTTGTTGTATCTGTTCTGGTCTGGGCCAGGCCGATTCCTACCCGCTGCTTGGGACAGCTCGCCTTGGCAGGAAATGCTGTTGTTGTATCTGTTTGGGCTGGGCCGGGCCGATTCCTACCCCAGCTGCTTGGACAGCTCGCCTTGGCGGAAATGCTGTTGTTGTATCTGTTCTGTGCTGGGCCGGGCCATTCCTACCAGCTGCTTGACAGCTCGGCCTTGGCGAAAATGCTGTTGTTGTATCTGTTCTGGGCTGGGCCAGGCCGATTCCTACCCGCTGCTTGGACAGCTCGGTTTGGCGGAAATGCTCTTGTTGTATCTGTTCTGGGTCGGGCCAGGCCGATTCCTACCCGCTTTGTGGACAGCTCGCCTTGGCGGAAATGCTGTTGTTGTATCTGTTTGGGCTGGGCCTGGCCATTCTACCCCTTGGACAGCTCGCCTTGGCGGAAATGCTGTTGTTGTATCTGTTCTGGGCTGGGCCGGGCCGATTCCTACCCGCTGTTTGGACAGCTCGCCTCGGCGGAAATGCTGTTGTTGTCCATCTGTTCTGGGCTGGGCCGGGCCGATTTCTACCCCGCTTGGACAGCTCGCCTTGGCGGAAATGCTGTTGTTGTATCTGTTCTGGGTCAGGCCGGGCCGATTCCTACCGCTGCTTGGACAGCTCGCCTTGGCGGAAATGCTGTTTTGTATCTGTTCTGGGTCGGGCAGGTGAGGCCGATTCCTGCTGCTTGGACAGCTCGCCTTGGCGGAAATGCTGTTGTTCCTCTGTTCTGGGCTGGGCCGGGCCGCTCCTACCTTGGCGCCGTTGTATCTGTTCTGGGCTGGACCGGGCCGATTCATGGCTGGACGGCTCGCCTTGGCGAAATGGTGTTGTATCTGTTCTGGGCTGGGCCGGCCGTTCCTGCCCGCTGTTTGGACAGCGCCTTGGCGGAAAGGCTCTTGTTGTATCTGTTCGGGGCTGGGCCGGGCGATTCCTACCCGCTGCTTGGATGGCTCCCATTGGCGGAATGCTGTTGTTTAGCGTATCTTTTCTGGGTCGGGCCAGGCCGATTCCTACCCGCTGCCCGGACAGCTCGCCTTGGCGGAAATGCTGTTATTGTGTCTGTTTGGGGTTGGGCCGGAGCCGATTCCTCCCGTTCTGGACAGCTCGCCTTGGCAGAAATGGTTGTTGGTTCTGGGCTGGGCCGGGTGATTCCTACCCGGCGGACAGCTCGCCTTGGCGGAAATGCTGTTGTTGTATCTGTTCTGGGCCGGGCCGATTCCCCGCCGTTTGGACAGCTCGCTTTGGCGAAATGCTGTTGTTGTATCTGTTCTGGGCTGGGCCGGGCCGATTCCTACCCGCTGCTTGGACAGCTCGCCTTATGGAAATGCTGTTGTTGTATCTTTTCTGGGGCTGGGCCGGCCGATTCCTACCCGCTGCTTGGACGGCTCGCCTTGGCGGAAATGCTGTTGTTGTATCTGTTTGGGGTTGGGCAGGGCCAGATTCTGCCCGCTGTTTGGACAGCTCGCCTTGGGAAATGCTGTTGTTGTATCTGTTCTGGGCTGGCCGGGCCGATTCCTACCCGCTGCTTGGACAGCTCGCCTTGGCGGAAATGCTGTTGTTGTATCTGTTCTGGTCCGGGCCAGGCCGATTCCTACCCGCTGCTTGGACAGCTCGCCTTGGCGGAAATGCTGTTGTTGTATCTGTTCTGGGCTGGGCCGGGCCGATTCCCTACCCGCTGCTTGGACAGCTCGCCTTGGCGGAAATGCTGTTGTTGTATCTGTTCTGGGCTGGGCGGGCCGATTCCTACCCGCTGCTTGGACAGCTCGCCTTGGCGGAAATGCTGTTGTTGTATCTGTTTCTGGGCTGGGCCGGCCGATTCCTGCCCGCTTCTTGGACAGCTCGCCTTGGCGGAAATGCTGTTGTATCTGTTCTGGGCTGGGCCAGGCCATTCCTGCCCGCTGCTTGGACAGCTCGCCTTGGCGGAAATGCTGTTTGTTGTATCTGTTCTGGGCTGGGCCGGGCCGATTCCCCCACCCGCTGCTTGGACAGCTCGCCTTGGCGGAAATACTGTTGTTGTATCTTTTCTGGGCCGGGCCGGGCCGATTCCTACCCCGCTTGACAGCTCGCCTTGGGAAATGCTGTTGTTGTATCTGTTCTGGGTCGGGCCAGGCCGATTCCTGTTGCTTTCGTACAGCTCTGTGGAAATCTTGTTGTTGTATCTGTTCTGGCGGGCCGATTCCTACCCGCTGCTTGGACGAAAAGCTCGCCTTGGCGGAAATACTGTTGTTGTATCTGTTCTGCGCTGGGCCGGGCCGATTCCTACCCGCCGCTTGGACAGCTCGCCTTGGCGGAAATGCTGGTGTTGTATCTGTTCTGGTCTGGGCCGGGCCGATTCCTACCGCTGCTTGGACAGCTCGCCTTGGCGGAAATGTTGTTGTTGTATCTGTTCTGCGGGCCAGGCCGATTCCTACCCGTCGCTTGGACAGCTCGCCTTGGCGGAAATGCTGTTGTTGTATCTGTTCTGGGTGGGCCAGGCCGATTCCAACCGCTGCTTGGATAGCTCGCCTTGGCGGAAATGCTGTTGTTGTATCTGTTCTGGGTCGGGCCAGGCCGATTCCTACCCGCTGCTTGGACAGCTACGCCTTGGCGGAAATGTTGTTGTATCTCTTTCTGGGTCGGGCCAGGCCGATTCCTACCCGCTGCTTGGACAGCTCGCCCTTGGCGGAAATGCTGTTGTTGTATCTGTTCTGGGTTGGGCCGGGCCGATTCTACCCGCTGATAGGACAGCTCGCCTTGGCGGAAATGCTGTTGTTGTTGTATTCTGTTTCCTGGTCGGGCCAGGCCGATTGTTCTGGGCCCGGGCCGATTCCCTTTCTTGGACAGCTCGCCTTGGCGGATGTTGTTGTTGTATCTTTTCTGGGCTGGAGCGGGCCGATTCCTACCGCTGTTTGGACAAAATGCCTTGGCGGAAATGCTGTTGTTGTATCTGTTCTGGGCTGGGCCGGCCGATTCCTACCCGCTGCTTGGACAGCTCGCCTTGGCGGAAATGTGTTGTTGTATCTGTTCTGGGGTCGGGCCGGGCCGATTCCTACCCCTTGCTGGGCTGGGCCGGGCCGATTCCTACCACTGGACAGCTCGCCTTGGCGGAAATGCTGTTGTTGTATCTGTTCTGGGTCGGGCCGGGCCGATTCCTACCAGCTGCTTGGACAGCTCGCCTTGGCGGAAATGTTGTTGTTGTATCTGTTCTGGGTCGGGCCATTATTCCTACCCGCTGTTTGACAGCTCGTCTTGGCGGGAAACGTTGTTGTTGTATCTGTTCTGGGCTGGGCCCGTTGATTCCTACCCGCTGCTTGGACAGCTCGCCTTGGCGGAAATGCTGTTGTTGTGTCTTTTCTGGGTCGGGCCAGGCCGATTCCCCTACCCGCTGTTTTGACAGCTTGCCTTGGCGGAAATGTTGTTGTTGGCTCTGTTTGGGGATTGGGCCGATTCTACCCCGTTGCGCTGGAGCGGGCGGGACAGCTCGCCTTGGCGGAAATGCTGTTGTTGTATCTGTTCTGGGCTGGGCCGGGCCGATTCCTACCCGCTGCTTGGACAGCTCGCCTTGGCGGAAATGCTGTTGTATCCGTTCTGGCTGGCCAGGCCGATTCCTAACCACTACTTGGACAGCTCGCCTTGGCGGAAATGCTGTTGTTGTATCTGTTCTGGGTCAGGGCCAGGCCGATTCCTACCCGTTGCTTGGACAGCTCGCCCTTGCGGAAATGCTGTTGTTGTATCTGTTCTGGGTCGGCCAGGCCGATTCCTACCCGCTGCTTGGACAGCTCGCCTATGGAAATTCCTACCGCTGTTGTTGTATCTTTTCTGGGTCCGGGCCAGGCCGATTCCTACCCGCTGCTTGGACAGCTCGCCTTGGCGGAAATGCTGTTGTTGTATCTGTTCTGGGCTGGGCCGGGCCGATTCTACCCGCTGCTTGGACAGCTCGCCTTGGCGGAATGCTGTTGTTGTATGTTCTGGGCTGGGTGGCCGATTCCTACCAGCTGCTTGGACAGCTCGCCTTGGCGGAAATGCTGTTGTTGTATCCGTTCTGGGCTGGGCCGGGCCGATTCCTACCCGCTGCTGGACAGCTCGCCTTGGCGGAAATGCAGTTGTTGTATCTGTTCTGGGTCGGGCCAGGCCGATTCCTACCCGCTGCTTGGACAGCTCGCCTGGCGGAATGCTGTTGTTGTATCTGTTCTGGGCTGGGCCGATCGATTCCTACCGCTGCTTGGACAGCTCGCCTTGGCGGAAATGCTGTTGTTGTATCTGTTTGGGCTGGGCGGGCCGATTCTACCGCTGCTTTGGACAGCTCGCCTTGGCGGAAATGCTGTTGTTGTATCTGTTCTGGGGCGGGCCGGGCCGATTCCCTACCCGCTGCTTGGACAGCTCGCCTTGGCGGAAATGCTGTTGTTGTATCTGTTCTGGGCTGGGCCGGGCCGATTCCTACCCGCTGCTGGACGGCTCGCCTTGGCGGAAATGCTGTTGTTGTATCTGTTCTGGGCTGGGCCGGGCCGATTCCTACCCGCTGTTTGGACAGCTCGCCTTGGCGGAAAGGCTGTTGTTGTATCTGTTCTGGGCTGGGCCGTGCCGATTCCCTACCCGCTGCCCGGACAGCTCGCCTTGGCGGAAATGCAGTTGTTGTATCTGTTCTGGGTCGGGCCAGGCCGATTCCCCTACCCGCTGCTTGGACAGCTCGCCTTGGCGGAAATGCTGTTGTTGTATCTTTTCTGGGTCTGGGCCAGCCGATTCTACCCGCTGCTTGGATAGCTCGCCTTGGCGGAAATGCTGTTGTATCTGTTATGGGCTCCGGGCCAGGCCGATTCCTACCCCGCTGCTTGGACAGCTCGCCTTTGGCGGAAATGTTGTTGTTGTATCTGTTCTGGGCTGGGCCAGTGCCGATTCTACCCGCTGCTTGGACATCTCGCCTTGGCGGAAATGCAGATGTTGTATCTGTTCTGGGTAGGCCGGGCCGATTCCTACCTGCCGCCCGGACAGCTCGCCTTGGCGGAAATGCTGTTGTTATCTGTTCTGGGCTGGGCGGGCACCGCTGCTTGGACAGCTCGCCTTGGCGGAAATGCTGTTGTTGTACTGTTCTGCTGGGGCTGGATTCTACCAGCTGCTTTGGCGGAAATGCTGTTGTTGTATCTGTTCTGGGTCGGGCCGGGCCGATTCCCCTACCGCTGCCCAGGACAGCTCGCCTTGGCGGAAATGCTGTTGTTCAGCCATCTGTTCTGGGTCGGGCGGGCCGATTCTACCCGCTGCTTGGACAGCTCGCCTTGGCGGAAATGCTGTTGTTGTATCTTTCTGGGTCAGGCCAGCCGATTCCTGCCCGCTGTTGGACAGCTCGCCTTGGCGGAAATGCTGTTGTTGTATCTGTTCTGGGCTGGGCCGTGCCCGATTCCCTACCCGCTGCTTTGGACAGCTGGCCTTGGCAGAAATATTGTATCTGTTCTGGGCTGGGCCGGGCCGATTCTACCCGCTGTTTGGACGCTCGCCTCGGCGGAAATGCTGTTGTTGTATCTGTTCTGGGCTGGGCCGGCGATTCCTACCGGGGACGCCTTCTTATCTGTTCTGGGTCCGGCCAGGCCAATTCTACCGGCTTGGACAGCTCGCCTTGGCGGAAATGCTGTTATTGTCTCTGTTCTTCGCCGGGCCGGGCCGATTCCTACCCGCTGCTTGGACAGCTCGCTGGCGGAAATTGTTGGACAGGTCGGGTCCGATTCCTGCTTGGACAGCTCGCCTTGGCGGAAATCTGCTGTTGTATCTCTGGGCTGGGCCGGGGTGGTTCCACCACGCTGGCGGACAGCTCGCCTTGGCCGTTCTTGTTGTATCTGTTCTGGGCCCGGCTGTGGACAGCTCGCCTTGGCGGAAATGCTGTTGTTGTATCTGTTCTGCGCTGGCCGGGCCGATTCCTATCCGCTGCTTGGACAGCTCGCCTTGGCCGGAAATGCTGTTGTTGTATCTGTTCTGGGCTGGGCCAGGCCAGTTCCCACCGCTGCTTGGACGGCTCGCCTTGGCGGAAATGCTGTTGTTGTATCCGTTCTGCGCTGGGCCGGGCGGATGCTATCCTTCTTGGACAGCTCGCCTTGGCGGAAATGCTGTTGTTGTATCTGTTCTGGGTCCGGGCCAGGCCGATTCTAACCGCTGCTTGGACAGCTCGCCTTGGCGGAAATGCTGTTGTTGTATCTGTTCTGGGTCAGGCCAGGCCGATTCCTGGCACCGGGACGCTCGCCTTGGCGGAAATGCTGTTGTTGTATCTTTTCTGGGTCGGGCCGATTCCCTACCCGCTGTTTGGACAGCTCGCCTTGGCGGAAATGCTGTTGTTGTATCTTTTTCTGGGCTGGGCCGGAGCCGATTCCTACCGCTGCTTGGACATCTCGCCTTGGCGGAAATGCTGTTGTTGTATCTGTTCTGGGTTGGGCCGTGCCGATTCCTGCCCGCTGCTTGGACAGCTCGCCTTGGCGGAAATGCTCTTGTTGTATCTGTTCTGGGCCGGGCCGGGCCGATTCCCACCCGCTGTTTGGACAGCTCGCCTTGGCGGAAATGCTGTTGTATCTGTTCTGGGCTGGGCCGGGCCGATTCCTACCCGCTGCTTGGACAGCTCGCCTTGGCGAAATATTGTTGTATCTGTTCTGGGCTGGGCCGGGCCGATTCCTACCCGCTGTTTGGACAGCTCGCCTTGGAGGAAATGCTGTTGTTTGTATCTGTTCTGGGCTGGGCCGTTGCCGATTTCCGCTTTCTTGGACAGCTCGCCTTGGCGAAAATGCTGTTGTTGTATCTGTTCTGGGTGGGCCGGGCCGATTCACTACCCGCTTGGTTGGCTCATGGCGGAAATGCTGTTGTTTGTGTCTGTTCTGGGTCGGGCCAGGCCGATTCCTACCCGCTGTTTGGACAGCTCCTTGGCGGAAATGCTGTTGTTGTATCTGTTCTGGGCTGGGCCAGCCGATTCCTACCCGCTGCTTGGACAGCTCGCCTTGGCGGAAATGCTGTTGTTATATCTCTGTTCTGGGCCAGGCCGTGCCGATTCCTACCCGCTTCTTGGACAGCTCGCCTTGGCGGAAATGTTGATGTATCTGTTCTGGGCTGGGCCGGGCGATTCCTACCCGCTGTTGGACAGCTCGCCTCAACCGGAAATGCTGTTGTTGTATCTGTTCTGGGCTGGGCCGGGCCGATTCCTACCCGCTGCTTGGACAGCTCGCCTGGCGGAAATGCTGTTGTTAATATCTGTTCTGCGCCGGGCAGGCCGATTCTACCGCTGCTGGACAGCTCGCCTTGGCGGAAATGCTGTTGTTGTATCTGTTCTGGGTCAGGCCGGGCCGATTTCCTACCCGCTGCTTGGACAGCTCGCCGCGGAAATGCTGTTGTTGTATCTGTTCTGGGCTAGGCCGTGCCGTTCCTACCCGCTGCTGGACGGCTCGCCTTGGCGGAAATGCTGTTGTTGTATCTGTTCTGGGCTGGGCCGGGCCGATTCCTACCCGCTGTTTGGACGCTCGCCTTGGCAGAAGGCTGTTGTTGTATCTGTTCTGGGCTGCGCCAGGCCGATTCTACCGCTGTGGACAAACTTGCCTTGGCGGAAATGCTGTTGTTGTATCTTTTCTGGGCTGGGCCGGGCCGTTCTACCTGCTGCGCTGGACAGCTCGCCTTGGCGGAAATGCTGTTGTTGTATCTGTTCTGGGCTGGGCCGGGCCGATTCCTACCCGCTGCTTGGACGGCTCGCCTTGGCGGAAATGCTGTTGTTGTATCTGTTCTGGGCTGGGCCGGGCCGATTCCTACCCGCTGCTTGGACAGCTCGCCTTGGCGGAAATGCTGTTGTTGTCCTGTTCTGGGCTGGGCCGGGCCGATTCCTACCCGCTGCTTGGACAGCTCGCCTTGGCGGAAATGCTGTTGTTGTATCTGTTCTGGGTCCGGGCCAGGCCGATTCCTACCGTTGCTTGGACTTGCACAGCTCGCCTTGGCGGAAATGCTGTTGTTGTATCTGTTCTGGGCTGGGCCAGGCCGATTCTACCCCGCTGCTTGGACAGCTCGCCTTGGCGGAAATGCTGTTGTTGTATCTGTTCTGGGTCGGGCCAGGCCGATTCCTAACCGCTGCTTGGACAGCTCGCCTTGGCGAAATGCTGTTGTTGTCTGTTCTGGGCTGGGCCAGGCCGATTCCTACCCGCTGCTTGGACAGCTCGCCTTGGCGGAAATGCTGTTGTTGTATCTGTTCTGGGTCGGGCCGGGCCGATTCCTACCCGCTGCTTGGACAGCTCGCCTTGGCGGAAATGCTGTTGTTGTATCTGTTCTGGGCCGGGCCGGGCCGATTCCCTACCCGCTGCTTGGACAGCTCGCCTTGGCGAAATGCTGTTGTTGTATCTGTTCTGGGTGGAGGGCCGATTCCTACCCGCTGCTGGACAGCTCGCCTTGGCGGAAATGCTGTTGTTGTATCTGTTCTGCAGGCTGGGCCGGGCCGATTCCTACCCGCTGCTTGGACAGCTCGCCTTGGCGAAATGCTGTTGTTGTATCTGTTCTGGGACGGGCCGGGCCGATTCCTACCCGCTGCTTGGACAGCTCGCCTTGGCGGAAATGCTGTTGTTGTGTCTGTTCTGGGTCGGGCCAGGCCGATTCCTACCACCGCGCTGCTTGGACAGCTCGCCTTGGCGGAAATGCTCTTGTTGTATCTGTTCTGGGTCAGGGCCGGGCCGATTCTACCGCTGCTTGGACAGCTCGCCTTGGCGAAATGCTGTTGTTGTATCTGTTCTGGGCTGGGCCTGGCCGATTCCTGCCGCTGCCGGACAGCTCGCCTTGGCGGAAATGCTGTTGTTGTATCTGTTCTGGGCTGGGCCAGGCCGATTCCTACCGCTGCCCGGAAATACTGTTGACTGTTCTGCTCCTTGGCGGCGCATGCTGTTGGCGGAAATTGTATCTGTTCTGGGTGGGCCAGGCCGATTCCTACCCTGCTGCTTGGACAGCTCGCCTTGGCGGAAATGCTGTTGTTGTATCTGTTCTGGGTCTGGCCGGGCCGATTCCTAACCGCTGCTTGGACAGCTCGCCTTGGCGGAAATGCTGTTGTTGTATCTGTTCTGGGCTGGGCCGATTCCTACCTGCTGCTTGGACAGCTCGCCTTGGCGGAAATGCTGTTGTTGTGTCTGTTCTGGGTCGGGCCAGGCCGATTCCTACCCGCTGCTTGGACAGCTCGCCTTGGCGGAAATGCTGTTGTTGTATCTGTTCTGGGTCAGGCCGGGCCGATTCCTACCCTGCCAGCTGCTGGACATGCTCGTTCTGGGTGGCCAGGCTTCCGCCCGCCGCTTGGACAGCTCGCCTTTGGCGGAAATTGTTGTTGTATCTGTTCTGGGCTGGGCCGGGCCGATTCCTACCGCTGTTGGACAACTCGCCTTGGCGGAAATGCTGTTGTTGTATCTGTTCTGGGCTGGGCCGGGCCGATTCCTACCCGCTGCTTGGACATCTCGCCTTGGCGGAAATGCTGTTGTTGTATCTGTTCTGGGCTGGCCGATTCCCTACCGGGGACAGCCGCTGTATCGTTCTGGGCAGGCCGGGCCTTCCTACCCGCTGCTTGGACAGCTCGCCTTGGATCTGTTGTTGTATCTGTTCTGGGTGGGCCAGGCCGATTCCCCCTACCCGCTGCTGGACAGCTCGCCTTGGCGGAAATGCTGTTGTATCCGTATCTGTTCTGGGCTGCTTGGACAGCTCGCCTTGGCGGAAATCCTTGTTATCTGTTCTGGGCTGGGACCGATTTTTCTCGCCTTGGACAGCTCGCCTTGGCGGAAATACTGTTGTTGTATCTGTTCTGGGCTGGGCCGGGCAGGATTTCTACCCGCTTGCACAGCTTTGGACAGCTCGCCTTGGCCAGGCCGATTCTGTTGTTAGCTCGCCAAATCTGTTCTGGGCTGGGCCGGGCCGATTCCTAACCGCTGCTTGGACAGCTCGCCTTGGCGAAATGCTGTTGTTGTATCTGTTCTGGGCTGGGCCGGGCCGATTCCTACCCGCTGCTTGGACATCTCGCCTTGGCGGAAATGCTGTTGTTGTATCTGTTCTGGGACGCTGGGCCTGGGGACAGCGCCTTGGCGGAAATCCTCCCTGCCGCTTGGGACAGCTCGCCTTGGCGGAAATGCTGTTGTTGTATCTGTTCTGGGCTGGGCCAGGCCGATTCCTACCCGCTGCTTGGACAGCTCGCCTTGGCGGAAATGCTGTTGTTGTATCTGTTCTGGGCTGGGCTTCCTACCCGCTTCCGGGAAATGCTGTTGTTGTATCTGTTCTGGGCTGGGCCGTGCCGATTCCTACCCGCTGCTTGGACAGCTCGCCTTGGCGGAAATGCTGTTGTTGTATCTGTTCTGGGCTGGGCCAGGCCGATTCCTACCCGCTGTTTGGACAGCTCGCCTTTGGCGGAAATGCTGTTGTTGTATCTGTTCTGGGCTGGGCCGGGCCGGGCGAGCCTTCCGGAAATGCTGTTGTTGTATCTGTTCAGCTCCCCTTGGCGGAAGCTCGCCTTGCTGTTGTTGTTGTTGTCTGTTCTGGGCTGGGCCGGGCCGATTCCTACCCGCTGCTTGGACAGCTCGCCTTGGCGGAAATGCTGTTGTTGTATCTGTTCTGGGTCGGGCCGGGCCGATTCCTACCCGCTGCTTGGACAGCTCGCCTTGGCGGAAATGCTGTTGTTGTATCTGTTCTGGGCTGGGCCAGGCCGATTCCTACCCGCTGCTTGGACAGCTCGCCTTGGCGGAAATGCTGTTGTTGTATCTGTTCTGGGCTGGGCCGGGCGATTCCTACCCGCTGGCGGACAGCTCGCCTTGGCGGGCCGAAATGCTGTTGTTGTATCTGTTCTGGGTTCTGGCCAGGCCGATTCCTACCACGCTTCTTGGACAGCTCGCCTTGGCAGAAATGCTGTTGTTGTATCTGTTCTGGGTCTGGCCAGGCCGATTCCTACCCGCTGCTTGGACAGCTCGCCTTGGCGGAAATGCTGTTGTTGTATCTGTTCTGGGCTGGGCCGGGCCGATTCCTAACCGCTGCTTGGACGCTCGCCTTGGCGGAAATGCTGTTGTTGTATCTGTTCTGGGTCGGGCCGGGCCGATTCCTACCCGCTGGACAGCTCGCCTTGGCGGAAATGCTGTTGTTGTGTCTGTTCTGGGTCGGGCCGGGCCGATTCCTGCCCGCTGCTTGGACAGCTCGCCTTGGCGGAAATGCTGTTGTTATCTGTTCTGGGGTTGGGCCGGGCCGATTCCCTACCCGCTGCTTGGACAGCTCGCCTTGGCGGAAATGCTGTTGTATCTGTTCTGGGCTGGGCCGGGCCGATTCCTACCCGCTGCTTGGACCAGCTCGCCTTGGCGGAAATGCTGTTGTTGTATCTGTTCTGGGTCTGGGCCAGGCCGATTCCTACCCGCTGCTTGGACAGCTCGCCTTGGCGGAAATGCTGTTGTTGTATCTGTTCTGGGCTGGGCCGGGCCGATTCCTACCGCTGTTTGGACAGCTCGCCTCGGCGGAAATGCTGTTGTTGTATCTGTTCTGGGTCGGGCCGGGCCCGATTCCTACCCGCTGCTTGGACAGCTCGCCTTGGCGGAAATGCTGTTGTTGTATCTGTTCTGCGCCGGGCCGGGCCGATTCCTACCGCTGCTTGGACAGCTCGCCTTGGCGGAAATGCTGTTGTTGTATCTGTTCTGGGCTGGGCCAGGCCGATTCTACCGCTGCTTGACAGTCAGCTTGGACAGCTCGCCTGGCGGAAATGCTGTTGTTGTATCTGTTCTGCGCTGGGCCAGGCCGATTCCTACCGCTGCTTGGACAGCTCGCCTTGGCGGAAATGCTGTTGTTGTATCTGTTCTGGGCTGGGCCGTGCCGATTCCTACCGCTGCTTGACAGCTCGCCTTGGCGGAAATGCTGTTGTTGTATCTGTTCTGCGCTGGGCCGGGCCGATTCCTATCCGCTTCTTGGACAGCTCGCCTTGGCGGAAATGCGTTGTTGTATCTGTTCTGGGTCTGGGCCAGGCCGATTCCTACCCGCTGCTTGGACAGCTCGCCTTGGCGGAAATGCTGTTGTTGTATCTGTTCTGGGTCAGGCCAGGCCGGCGATTCCCTTTCCGCTGCTTGGACAGCTCGCCTTGGCGGAAATGCTGTTGTTGTATCTGTTCTGCCGTCCGGGCCAGGCCGATTCTACCCGCTTTGCTGTGGACAGCTCGCCTTGGCGGAAATGCTGTTGTTGTATCTGTTCTGGGTCTGGGCCGGGCCGATTGATACCGCTGCTTGGACAGCTCGCCTTGGCGGAAATGCTGTTGTTGTATCTGTTCTGGGTCGGCCAAATGATTCCTACCCGCTGCTTGGACAGCTCGCCTTGGCGGAAATGCTGTTGTTGTATCTGTTCTGGGTTGGCCGGGCCGATTCCTGCCGCCGCTTGGACAGCTCGCCTTGGCGGAAATGCTGTTGTTGTATCTGTTCTGGGCTGGGCCGGGCCGATTCCTATCCGCTGCTTGGACAGCTCGCCTTGGCGGAAATGCTGTTGTTGTATCTGTTCTGGGTCGGGCCCGGCCGATTCCTACCCGCTGCTTGGACAGCTCGCCTTGGCGGAAATGCTGTTGTTGTATCTGTTCTGGGTCAGGGCCAAGGCCGATTCCTAACCGCTGCTTGGACGAAATGCTGTTGTTGTATCTGCTCGCCTTGGCGGAAATGCTGTTGTTGTATCTGTTCTGGGTCTGGCCGGGCCGATTCCTACCCGCTGCTTGGACAGCTCGCCTTGGCGGAAATGCTGTTGTTGTATCTGTTCTGGGCCGGGCCAGGCCGATTCCCTACCCGCTGCTTGGACAGCTCGCCTTGGCGGAAATGCTGTTGTTGTATCTGTTCTGGGCTGGGCCGGGCCGATTCCTACCCGCTGCTTGGACAGCTCGCCTTGGCGGAAATGCTGTTGTTGTATCTGTTTCTGGGCTGGGCCGGGCGATTCCTACCCGCTTGGACAGCTCGCCTTGGCGGAAATGCTGTTGTTGTATCTGTTCTGGGCTGGGCCGGGCCGATTCCTACCCGCTGCTTGGACAGCTCGCCTTGGCGGAAATGCTGTTGTTGTATCTGTTCTGGGCTGGGCCGGGCCGATTCCCTACCCGCTGCTTGGACAGCTCGCCTTGGCGGAAATGCTGTTGTTGTCTGTTCTGGGCTGGGCCGGGCCGATTCCTACCCGCTGCTTGGACAGCTCGCCTTGGCGGAAATGCTGTTGTTGTATCTGTTCTGGGTCGGGCCGGGCCGATTCCTACCCGCTGCTTGGACAGCTCGCCTTGGCGGAAATGCTGTTGTTGTATCTGTTCTGGGTTGGGCCGGGCCGGATTCCTACCGCTGCTTGGACAGCTCGCCTTGCTTCCCGAAAATGCTGTTGTTGTGTCTGTTCTGGGCTGGGCCGGGCCGATTCCCCACCCGCTGCTTGGACAGCTCGCCTTGGCGAAAATGCTGTTGTTGTATCTGTTCTGGGCTGGGCGGGCCGATTCCTACCCGCTGCTTGGACAGCTCGCCTTGGCGGAAATGCTGTTGTTGTATCTGTTCTGGGCTGGGCCGATTCTACCCGATTCCCCTGCTGTTTGGACAGCTCGCCTTTGGCGGAAATGCTGTTGTTGTATCTGTTCCTGGGTCGGGCCATTCCTAGGCCGATTCCCTATCCGCTGCTTGGACAGCTTGCCTTGGCGGAAATGCTGTTCTGTTCTGGTATCTGTTCCCCTACCCGGGCTTGACAGGCCCTTGGCCGTTGTTGTATCTCCTAACCGCTAACCGCTTTTGATAGCTCTTGCCTTGGCGGAAATGCTGTTGTTGTATCTGTTCTGGGTCGGGCCAGGCCGATTGTTACCCGCTGCTTGGACAGCTCGCCTTGGCGGAAATGCTGTTGTTGTATCTGTTCTGGGTCCGGACCCGATTCCGGGCCGATTCCTACCCTGCTGCTTGGACAGCTCGCCTTGGCGGAAATGCTGTTGTTGTATCTTTTCTGGGCTGGGCCGGGCCGATTCCTACCCGCTGCTTGGACAGCTCGCCTTGGCGGAAATGCTGTTGTTGTATCTGTTCTGGGCTGGGCCGGGCCGATTCCTACCTCCCGCTGTTGGACAGCTCTGCCTTGGCGGAAATGCTGTTGTTGTATCTGTTCTGGGTCGGGCCGGGCGATTCCTACCCGCTGTTTGGACAGCTCGCCTTGGCGGAAATGCTGTTGTTGTATCTGTTCTGGGCTGGGCCGGGCCGATTCCTACCCGCTGCTTGGACAGCTCGCCTTGGCGGAAATGCTGTTGTTGTATCTGTTCTGGGCTGGGCCAGGCCGATTCCTACCCGCTGCTTGGACAGCTCGCCTTGGCGGAAATGCTGTTGTTGTATCTGTTCTGGGCTGGGCCGGGCCGATTCTACCCGCTGCTGCTTGGACAGCTCGCCTTGGCGGAAATGCTGTTGTTGTATCTGTTCTGGGCTGGGCCAGGCCGATTCCTACCGCTGCTTGGACAGCTCGCCTGGCGGAAATGCTGTTGTTGTATCTGTTCTTCTGGGCCAGGCCGATTCCCACCCGGCTGGGGGACAGCTCGCCTTATTCCCTACCCGTTCTGCCTGGGCTTGCCGATTCCTCCTTGCTTGGACAGCTCGCCTTGGCGAAATGCTGTTGTTGTATCTGTTCTGGGCTGGGCCGGGCCGATTCCTACCCGCTGCTTGGACAGCTCGCCTTGGCGGAAATGCTGTTGTTGTATCTGTTCTGGGCTGGGCCGGGCCGATTCCCTCGGCGGATCCGCTTGTTTGGACAGCTCGCCTTGGCGGAAATGCTGTTGTTGTATCTGTTCTGGGTCGGGCCGGGCCGATTCCTACCCGCTGCTTGGACAGCTCGCCTTTGGCGGAAATGCTGTTGTTGTATCTGTTCTGGGCTGGGCCGGGCCGATTCCTACCCGCTGCTTGGACAGCTCGCCTTGGCGGAAATGCTGTTGTTGTATCTGTTCTGGGGACGCTGGCTTGGGCCGATTCCTATCCGCTGCTTGGACAGCTCGCCTTGGCGGAAATGCTGTTGTTGTATCTTTTTCTGGGTCGGGCCGGGCCGATTCCTACCTGCTGCTTGGACAGCTCGCCTTGGCGGAAATGCTGTTGTTGTATCTGTTCTGGGTCGGGCCGGGCCGATTCCTACCCGCTGCTTGGACAGCTCGCCTTGGCGGAAATGCTGTTGTTGTATCTGTTCTGGGCTGGGCCATTGATTCCTACCCGCTGTTTGGACAGCTCGCCTTGGCGGAAATGCTGTTGTTGTATCTGTTCTGGGCTGGGCCGGGCCGATTCCTACCCGCTGCTTGGACAGCTTGCCTTGGCGGAAATGCTGTTGTTGTATCTGTTCTGGGCTCGGGCCGGGCCGATTCCCAACCCGCTGCTTGGATAGCTCGCCTTGGCGGAAATGCTGTTGTTGTATGCGCTGGGCTGTTCTGGGCCGGGCCTTGGGCCGAAATTCCTGTTCCGCTGTTTGGACAGCTCGCCTTGGCGGAAATGCTGTTGTTGTATCTGTTCTGGGCTGGGCCGGGCCGATTCCTACCCGCTGCTTGGACAGCTCGCCTTGGCGGAAATGCTGTTGTTGTATCTGTTCTGGGTCCGGGCCAGGCCGCTGTTCAACTCGCCCGCTGCTTGGACAGCTCGCCTTGGCGGAAAGCTCGCTGTTGTTGTATCTGTTCTGGGTCGGGCCGGGCCGATTCCCACCCGCTGCTTGGACAGCTCGCCTTGGCGGAAATGCTGTTGTTGTATCTGTTCTGGGTCGGGCCAGGCCGATTCCTACCCGCTGGCGGACAGCTCGCCTTGGCGGAAATGCTGTTGTTGTATCTGTTCTGGGCTGGGCCGTGCCGATTCTCTGTTCTGGGCCGGGCCCGCTGCTTGGACAGCTCGCCTTGGCGGAAATGCTGTTGTTGTATCTGTTCTGGGCTGGGCCGGGCCGATTCCTACCGCTGCTTGGACAGCTCGCCTTGGCGGAAATGCTGTTGTTGTATCTGTTCTGGGCTGGGCCGGGCCGATTCCTACCCGCTGCTTGGACAGCTCGCCTTGGCGGAAATGCTGTTGTTGTATCTGTTCTGGGCTGGGCCGGGCCGATTCCTTGCTTGGACACCTCCCGGAAATGCTGTTGTTGTATCTGTTCTTGGACAGCCTACCCGCTTCTTGGACAGCTCGCCTTGGCGGAAATGCTGTTGTTGTATCTGTTCTGGGCTGGGCCGGGCCGATTCCTACCCGCTGCTTGGACAGCTCGCCTTGGCGGAAATGCTGTTGTTGTATCTGTTCTGGGCTGGGCCAGGCCGATTCCTACCCGCTGCTTGGACAGCTCGCCTTGGCGGAAATGCTGTTGTTGTATCTGTTCTGGGCTGGGCGGGCCGATTCCTACCCGCTGCTTGGACAGCTCGCCTTGGCGGAAATGCTGTTGTTGTATCTGTTCTGGGTCGGGCCAGGCCGATTCCTACCCGCTGCTTGGACAGCTCGCCTTGGAAATGCTGTTGTTGTATCTCTGTTCTGGGTCTCGCCTTGGCAGCTCGCCTTGGCGGAAATGCTGTTGTTGTATCTGTTCTGGGTCGGGCCAGGCCGATTCCTACCTGCTGCTTGGACAGCTCGCCTTGGCGGAAATGCTGTTGTTGTATCTGTTCTGGGTCGGGCCAGGCCGATTCCTACCCGCTGCTTGGACAGCTCGCCTTGGCGAAATGCTGTTGTTGTATCTGTTCTGGGCTGGGCCGGGCCGATTCCTGTTGTT